TCTGGGTTGAAAGTCAGTTGCCACTTTTCGCTTCAATCACCTAGATTGTTTAATTCATGTTGGATCTTGCTTTCGACGCTCTTATCATCGTACCCATAATCATATACTATCTTGAGATCATCTGCAGAGAGGTATGGATTGCCATACTTGATCACAGAGACTATGTCATTTATGAATAAGAGGAATAGAATAGGGCCAGGAACGCTACCCTGTATTACACCACTACTTATCGGCCTCGGTGAAGACAGCTGATGGTTGATTTTGATTAACTGCTCTTTCTGTGAGAAAAGAATTTATCCATTTGAGAAGTTTTCCAGTTTTTCCGTAGGATTGGAATTTTGTTGGTAGTCTGATATGTGGGACTTTATCAAAGGCCTTGCTAACGTCGAGAAATAATGTTGTTACTGAACGCCCACTATCAATGCATTATGTAATGTAGTTAAAATAATCTAGGTGGCAAGTAATGCACGACCTTCTACTTAAGAAACCGTATTGGGATGAGGATAGTAGATCATCTGACAACAAGTACCGAATGATTTGAGTCTTTGCTATTTTTCCATTACACGTGAGACTACAGACGTGATGTTGGTGGGGCGGTAGTTGTTGATATCAGCTGTAGGCCCGTATTTATGGATAGGTACAATATAAGACTCCTTCCAGCAGGTAGGGTTTGTCCCATCGCTTAGTGAAATTGAGTATAACTTGAGTAGGAGTAAGTTTATGTCATTAACACCGTTTTCAGCAGAATGGAAGATATACCGTCCGGACCAATAATAAGCTAAATAAGCTTAAGATTTGAGATAGCTTTGTCGGTCTCTTGTGCGGTGAAAAATATGTCACTTAGACATTCGTCTGTTTTACGTGAGAAATCCATGACCTCATCGTTCTCCAAGGCGTATAGTATGGAAAAGTGCTTGCTAAACAGCTAATATATCACCTCGGTATTCTTGCAAGCGATGACGTCTAAGTATATTATTTTTGAATGGGCTGTTTTGGAGTTCATCAACCTACTTTTGAAAAGTTTGGCTATTTCTTCTGGGTTATGCAGTGGCTGAATGGCCAACATTTCTTTGTTTCTGAGGCTCATATTTTTCGACGCTTGAATTCTAGTGAGAAGGGACGTAATAGCAATTAATGATGAAAAGTCATGATATCTGTAGTATTTTATTGAGTGCTTTCGTAGGCTTCTTCCCAGCGATGTTGGAATATAATCGCTTTGGGAGAATCTGAAGCTAAGAATCCTCTCAGGTGCAATGACGTCATGAATTAAGTTAATATTGTGATAAAAGTTGTTAAGAATTGCCTCTAAGGACTCATTCGAAAAGTATGAGTCCCAATTAGAACATCTAATTAGGTGCTGATACAAGTCCCAATCAGCATGTGTGTACAATCTGGCCAGCTTCATCTCTGCGTTTTGTTTCAGGAAATATGTTAAAAGAACACACTACTATCTTGTGGTCACCAACTGGGAATTCATGTCCCACATATACTGTAGATGGTGTTATATTGTTCGTAAAAATAGGGTCTAGGATATTTGTGGATCTAGTGGGTGAATTTATGTGTTGTATCCACCCTCCTGTGACGATGGAATTCAGGAGATTATCATACCTTTTGGGACCTCGGAGTAAAGGTCATGATACTTCTGGCATGTTGAAATCACCTCCAACAATTGTATAACTGAAGGAAAGACTGGCTGTAACATTAAAAATGTTGGTGAGCATATTATCAAATTCCCCGCTGGATGAAGGGGGTCGGTACACACAATCCACAAGTATAGGTTTACTTCTGACTACTTTTATTTCAACCCAGATCGAGTCACTGAGTTGTGACAGAATTGGGTTACTGAACTGGGTCGCACACAAGGATTGTTCAAAGTAAATTAGTGTCCCACCCCCACGACCTGTCTGCCTGTCCCCTCGAAATAGGTTGTATTTATCAATCCTTCGTATTTACTAGGATAATAGGTAAACACTGGCTACGTGGTATCAGTGAGCGGACATCTCGATAAAATAGTCCGTGATTGTCCTCTACATACGTGTTGTTAGAATCATTTACTAGTATCTTTGGATCATAGGAAGACTTCAGGTAGGTTTTTGAGGTTGTAGTCAGGGATGGTCTTTCGTTTGGATATGGTATGCAGTGAGAGACACCTGTGTGATAATCAGATAATAATATTTTAGGGATATTAGTATCCACGTTTGGTGTCGACACTGTGTCAGCTATCTCCCGGGAAATATGCCTCGCCCTAGCTGTAGACTGTTCGCTATGCCAGCAAGGAATTGATCCGATAGCATGCGTGCTATATGCATGATGCCAGTCGTTTCTGTAAACTGACGCTGGTGAAAATCCTGCCCGGAGGTATGACCGATATGAGTATTCGGTAATTTGTTGCCAGTATAAGAATGAAGTGTTGGTATCTATTTCGGGTATTCATCAGACCATAGCAAGTTTTGTGCAAAATTTGGCACATGTTCCCTGCTAGATACATAAGATGTATGAATGGGTTCTGGTGGCTTATTCGGCTTGCTAAATGTAGCCTGTGGCCGATGTTTGGAGGACTTTCTATAAGTTTCAGTTGATAGAACATTAGAAGGGGGCTGACTCACAAGAGGCTTGCGTGGCAGATGATTAGATTAGTACCGGCTACCTCGCTGTCGTTTGTCTAGGAGTAGTGGTTGGACACAACTGGCTTTCCACCTGACACCAATTAGGCCTACCTCTAGGAGCTTGGTCAACCATATTTGACTTTCTCTCAGAAGGATGGCTTAGAGGTGCTTTCGTCTCTATCATATCAAAGGGCTTTCTTGCTCCGGACTCAGTATTTAATTAATTTATTTCCCTCTTCCATTTCTTATGATCAACTGGTAGATGATGGTTAACAGGGCAGCCAGCACATGCTATGTAGGGTTCCTGTTGCTTGGACACCTCATGCTCTTTAGTTTTCTCAATAGAAATGGGACTTTTGTCGTAACGCCTAGAAAACTTGCTAACTTGGGTAGCTACATTCGACTGGTACTTCACAGTGAATAGATTGTCAGACTGATGAGTAACTGACTTATAAGAGGATGTGCGGAACACCAGTGGGATGGGTTTCGATGTTTTCGGGCCATTAACGTTTGTGTCAGTGTGCAAACGATGTACTTCAACATCATGTTCCGTTGACTCATCTATGTCGACCATTTCAGTGTCAGCATCAGTGTCGTTATATAATACTTGGCTAATATTAGTCTGTGCCTGTGAAAATGTATCATGCATGCGGTCATCAGGTATATGGCTACACTGAATAACGCATGAAACATCTAGAGTAGTCCTATTAGGGTTATCAGCATTCAGTGCTCCTGAGCGGTATCGTCTTTGGCATGGTGTTAAATCAGGTGCAACCCTAATGTTAGTGTAGGGTGTTGAAGAGCCTAATATCTTACCCGATTTCAGAAAATTCCTGGATTCTTCAATAGACCTAAACTTGAAAAGCACCAGACGTTAGTGGTTTGCAGATTTCTTACGAAGACGCAAAATCTGACATCCTGTTAACGGCATATTACAAGCCTTTAGACATGAAGTTTTCAGGTTGGCAATAGGCTCTCTATCTGGAATGTTAAAAGCCAAGACGTTATTTGAAGACATAATCATTTTAACAGCTTCTTCAGCCAAATAGTCAATTATGCACTCGGATTTGATAAGTGATTCTAGACAGATGTTTTGTGATGAGTCACACAGTTGTTCTATTATCGAAGTATCAAAACCAATGGTAAACAGCTATACATTGCAAAGTGAGAAGTCAAACCGTCCTTTAACAGTACTGCCTGGGGATAAAATGCTTAGTCCCACGTGGTTAGAAGGGGTATCAGAAGATTTCGAGTTGTAGATTCCACAAGTGAATACTAAATGTAGTTCCAGGGGGCACAACACAATCCCTTTTGAGTATGGATATGTTAATAATGTGAGGGACGTGGCTAATTTCCAGAAGAATACGGAACGATGATTCACGCAGAAATAGAACACCTGTAGCGCAACAGTTCGAACGATTCTTACATTCTATGGTAGATTTGAACACTTATAGAATTCCAGATGTACACAGTACAGTTTCCCTTCTGCGAAAATCAAGCATTACACAGTCGCTTCATATCCATTCGTTAGTATCAACCAATAATGATAATCAAAGAAAGACTAGTTCTTCAAACTTTACACTTTCTTGGTTAAGTTGCCCCATAATATTCGTTTCGTAAGTAGATGCAATGAATATTATATCTGTGACATTTGTAAATGTCTTACTTTTGTTCCCTTAAGCTTTCAGAGGTTGCAGGTATCGACGTTCGCAAGTTGTACGGATTATACTGACGCAAGATCTTATACCAACAACTTCTATAGTGTTCGCTCTTCGAGTACGAAAGATAAAGCAAAAGACCAGATTTAGCCGTCCAAAGCACGCAATATATTTCGGGACCAAATCGCGGGTAGAAGTGAATGCTTAGCTAGCTAGTAATCGTGCACGCACGTGACACGACGAAGTACCAAATGGCGAGGATGCTTGACCGGAAGCCTTCAGCTAAACAAGTCGACTTAAACAGTGAGGTTCAGCATCCAATGTTGAGTGATGATTGCTGTGGTCAATAATTTTGGGGAATTATTTACCGCTACAAGCTGAAAAATGTAATGTCTGTCTGATTTTACTATTATTTCAAAGCCTGCATCAATAATGTTCACTGCATATAAGCCTCAATATGTATGCACACGAAAATCTACCAGTCACAATGCGTGTAAGCGACCATCAACTGCTCAACTTCTCCACAAGCAGTGTGCAGCTATCCACTGCTGATACGTACGTTCATTGGCTACAAAATCAACCACTGGGAGCTGGCAACATTCCGTGACTGCGTTACACGGATGCTTTATTAGTCATTATCAATATATGAATTGAATATATCATTTCAATTAGTTTCGATCCAATTTACGCATCCTATGATCATTACATCTTAATCAACTTTTTGGAAAGTGATATATTTTAATGCATCACATTTGGTGTTCTTGAACAATCCGGCCGAATTCACACTTTCAGTTTGACTATAAATGAATGCTCTTCATAGGCTTTACTGCAAATTTCATCCTGATTTGGTTTTTGATTACTGTGTGGAAAATGGGTTGATAGGGAAGGCAAAAACATGCACATGTGGAGGGGTTATGACTCTTCAGAAGTATTGCCAGGCAATTGATGGCTATGCATTCAGTTGCAATCAGTGTGATTGCAGGGAGTCTGTAAGGGTTGGTAAGTTGTACATTATGGTGATTTTTTAGGTACTTTCTTCTCAAAATCGAAACTTCCCCTTACTAAAATACTATGTATATGCTACTATTGGCTATTGAAACGACCAGTAGTTGCTACATCTGCAGAAACAGAGAACACTATGGAGTCAACAGTGCAGTGGTATCAGCACTGTCAGGAAGTTGCTTCACAAAAGATCAGTGGGATTACTTGTGCACTAGGTGGAATTGGTGTCGTCGTTCACATTGACGAAACATTTATCAAACAAAAAATGAATCGAAGTAAGGGAGAGGCAAACGATGTTTGGGTACTGGGACTCTACGACACGAATCTGCGAAAAGGGTTAGTGGAACGCATTCCAAACAGAAGTGCCGATGTTTTAATACCAATAATACAACGACTGGTGCTCCCAGGTACGACCATTCACACAGATGAGTGGGAAGGATATTCACAATTATCGTCCTTAGGCTATATTCATAATAAATTCAAACGTTCATCAGAATTAGTGAATCCTATAACTGGTACTCATAAAAATTCCATCGTCGGGTTTCTAGCCAATTTAAAAAGACGGATTACAATGGAAAGCGACTCGGAAGACGATGTGATGTGCAATTCTTTAGATGAATTTTTGTATCGACATTGGTTTGATATGTCTGTAACCACTCCTATGAGGAACTGGGATCTGTTCCTGCAGCATATTAGAGACGTATACCCTGTATAATTCATCTCTATTACATATATCCTGTAAATATACTTTTTATACTATAAATTCCACTTTTTATCCAGAAGGTTGTGATTGGTTGGTTCGTCATTAGGTTGTGGTATGCATTCTTTATTGTCACCGGTTTTCCAGTTTGCTTTATTGTTCAGCGTTGTCAATGATGGTTCTGTTATGACTTATGGGATTGTACGGTGTATTTTAATGTCCATGTTAGGCTTAAATATTGCTATTTATTGACGCAAGAGATCCATTTGTTGACATAACTATCCCTTTTATTTTCAGGTAACATGAGTTTTGACAGTCCTGTGTCATCAAATACGAAGCCATGATTTGAAGTACACAACAATAAACCGTCAGTTGACGTCAGAGCGTACAAGCCCACGAAAAGAATAAGACTACGTAAATGCACATCGGCACTAACTTTTTACGATGCAGCGACAGTTAGCTTTGACCTACGGCGATACAAGTCCACATTCCACTGAAGGTTGGAGAAATACAATTTGGAGTGTAAGCAGCAGCTAGCAGGTAAGGTGGTAGTTTGCTGTTAATGTACACAGAATACCTTAAGATCCCCCGTCGAACGGAACCAATGTAACAGGCTACCTCAGACAACGCGTGTATGCCCCCGGACGTTGTCATTCTATTTGACATTGACTGTGATGATATAGCAGCTTCACAGGAAAGAACATTTTGTATTGATTTACATCCGCAACGTCGTATACAGATGCAGTCTTAGATTAACACATACGAATCCTGCTAGAAATGAAAAGATTGCATCCTGACATACCTATCTTCGAACATTGGTAAGGACAGATGTTGATGAAAAAGAAATTGGACTACGATTGCAGTGCATTAAATAATTCATGCACTGAGGATATCTCACAGTTTGCTAAATCAACGGCTGTAAAAAATAAGATTAATTTTACAAACACTAAGTGGGAGGAATTACTGGGAAACTTTGTTTCAACATCCAGCTTTTCTCACATCAATTTGCAAGTAAAATTACACTTTTAGTAATTTATATTACCTATTTCAGTTAACATTGCCCTTCATCAGTGTCGGGAACAGGATTTCTTTGTAATATGTGCTGTACAGTGGGAAAAGGCAGAGTTTATCAAACTGCATAATTGATTGACTAAACGATTCCTACGAGGGAAGAATCAGTGCACTCAAAACAGTGTGTGGTGTCTGTGGAATTCTGTAACAGTTTACATATTTGAAAACAACTGATGTACGTAATTCTTGCGTTAATAATTTGTGAATTGAAATCTTTTTCCTTTTAAACAACATACTGTTTCTGCTTTATATATCCAGTTTGGTTAACATTTCTGCACTAGTATTGACGAAAGTAGAGATATATTAATTATAATTCCTACGGTTTCTTATATGAATATTATTGCAACACAATCAACTAAGTCTTTCTTGGCTCACTCAGCATAATGAGTTTTGTTGAAGATTAGTGGAAGATGAGCAAGTGGAAATAAGGCACTATTACTGAACATCCTGCGTAGTGTTCAATACATTGGTAGTCGCATAATCAAGTGTATATTCCCCTGAAATGTTACAGTAAGCAGTCAGTCTTGTACATCTCTTTACAATGATTTTCACTATTTATTCCTCCAAAGCTTATGAAATAATCATCAGAGTAGTCTGTCAACGTGAAGTGAGAAGTAATACTGAAGTATCCAGATAGTAACAGTAGCAATGATTGTAGTAATATATGTCCATCAAAACAGATTCAAAAGTGCTTTGAGGAGAAACATTTAGTTTTTGCGTAGTTCATAAAGGATCCATAGTATGTTCGGTAATCCCATACGTTGTCGGACTTCTAATGCCAGCCGACGCAATCTTTAACTTTACCTAGTAAGCTCGGTAAAAAAAAGAGAAGTTGGATGTGAGATGGTTAACAACCGTACCCTGTAAAAGAAAGACCAGTGAAACTTCATAGCTGGAAGCAAAGGAAAGAAAGTATAACTATAAAACACCCTTATTCCAAAATTCAGAACTTCTTACAAAGGGCAGTTAACAAAAGGAATCAATTGAAAAGTTATTTCAAGGTGATAATAGATACTGGGTATTATGTTGAAGTCATGAACTTCAAATGCTGATGTACTTGGTTGCTAAAAGTCCTCTTTTAAGTATCACCATTGAAATGAATTGACATGTAATAATGTGTAAATAATTAATTCAAATATGTGGACTTTGTAGAAAGAACATCTTACCAAAGATAACTTAACTGATTTGTCTTTTCAAGTGAACTGAAGAGCTAGGCTAGTTGTAAAATAAAATTAAGTAGACGTTTGATAGAGATTTTCGTATTATGTCTCACCTAACAGGTCATTTGAATGCGACAAATAGTGACCTGACAACAAATGAATTCTTTAACTGACTGCTTTCAACGTAGAACTTTGCACTGATGTGCAGCAGTTCGAATAGCCACACTTCACTTAGTACACAAAGCAAGAGAAGAAAGTAAAAACAGAGATATGAGGCAAAAAGAATAGTAATAACGAAGAACAATATAATAAAATTATTTGCTTTATTCCAAAACAGTACTTGTGATACAGAATGGAATTCTCAGCATTTTTACTACAGTATTGTATCCAGTTAGTACATTATCAATAAATAGAATTCTACATAGATTAAGGAAATCTCAGTTCATTATGACAACAACATATTGGCATGTCGGTAGCAAAGCCAAAGTTGAACAGTGTTTGAAGGTGTTAGAAAAGTAGATGCTATCATATTTACTGGCGTAAGCGGAAGAAAGAAACAAAGCAGCACATAACAGAAAAAGAGAGAAAAGGAAAAGAAAGAAAGAAAACGTTGTACCTATAAATGATATGAGTTGGAAAGACAAGATCCAGTTGTTCTACTGACTATTTAATAAGTTATAGGTATCACGTCTAATGCTTTCTTTATCGCACAGAACACGAGCTAAGTAGGGTATGGTTGAGTTTTTGTACTTGCTGGTGCGAGCATATAGTTTTCTATATAGGCTTCTGGTTTTGCCTGATGAGATGCAAGGGGAGAGTTGTGAGTGAAGAGGGTGGTGTGAATTAGATAAAATGGATTTGGCCCATTTTTCACATGAGTCCATGTGCCTGTCGACCAGAATATTAACAAGCTGGTTAAGTGGCACGTTGCTTACCCTGCTGACAACCTTTAACATCCTGCGTAATAAGGTATAGTCTTTCTTCAGTAGCCCGGGAAAAACTAAGGGGAACAATAGAGAATAATAGGCAGAATGCGAGAGTTAACGAATTGTAGGAGTAAGGGTTGGGTTATACCAGAATGTTTTAACTTCTTGATGTAGAAGGTAAGACGGAATATTTTCTTAGAAATCGCCAAGATATGAGACGACCAGGAGAGATCAGCAGATAGAATGACGCCTAGGTATTTAATTTCCGACTTGGTCTCTATTTCAGTGCCATCTATGTTGCACACCTCGTGAGTGCTAACCAGTTTGTTTAGGTCAGATTTATGCCTAAAGGTGAAATTGACTGTTTGGCATTTGGAGGGGTTTAAGGTAAGACCGTTTTCCTTGGACCACTGGCTGATTTCTGATAGAAAGCCATCTAGTTTAGAGCAGTCTCTGACATTTGACAGCCAAAGATACAGTCAGGTCGTCAGCATATTTGACAAAATTAATGTCATTTGAAGATGGTAAGTCATGGAGAAAGAAAGAAAAGGGAAGTGGAGGGAGTACAGCACCTTGGGGGACACCAGCTTCAGTGAGCACAACAGAGGAGGATTTACTTTTGTATACGGTGTACTGCATTCTGTTAGAGAAGTAGGAATGCAACCAGTTTGTAGTTTTATTGGGTATTATAAGTCACAAGGAATGGATGCATCTGCGCCATTGAGAGATTTTGAGCCATGTTACCAATTGTCTCCAGCCTTGATTGGTTTTTTACTGTCCCGAGGACCCCAACCAGGAAGTCTACACCAACCTACGTGAATGGCTTGAACTAACTGTCATAGATTTCATTGACTGATGAAACCATCTTTTGGTTTCGCCACCTCTAGCTCTTTCTCTTTGCAACCTGATCCCGTGTCAGCTAACATTACCCGTCGAGGAAGACGATCGATGGCTAGGCATACGTAACACATGTCCTAACCATCTCAGTCGATGTAGCTTCACAGTCTCGTCTATTGATTTCCCCTCCTTACCTAGTACTAGACGCCTAACCTCAATATTGTTCACTTTGTTATACAACTTAATACGGGAGATAGAATACAGGCATCTATGATCAAAGACAGCTAGCAGGCTTTTCATGTCCTCCACTCTCAATCGCCAGGTCTCACAGTCATAAAGGAGGACGGAGTGGACTGCTGAGCAGCACACACACCCTTTGGTCGATAGCCAGCCGTATATCACGTCTACACCAGAGATTGCGTAAGCTGGCATATGCAAAACAAGCCTTCTGTATCCGTGCTGAGATTTCGTCAGCGACCAACCCAATGGGGCTGATGTAACTTCCCAAATAAGTGAAGTGGTCAAGGCGCTCTACCACTTCACTCCCTATTTGTAAGCTAGGAGTCAATGTAGTCCAATCCTGTAGTATCATCTTACATTTGACGGGAGCGAACCGCTTGCCAAACATTCGCAGATTGCAGCTCAAGGTGTTCAGAAGACTGTATTATGTCAGCGTCTTCACCTAGAAGGACTATATCATCTGCATATTCTAAGTCAACGAGGTTATTCCCTGGTAATAAGTCAATCCGTGAGTTGCTGAAGTCAGCTAGGGTTAATTCCATTAGCACATCTATGTTGAAATTAAACAGAAATTGCGACAATGGACATCCCTAACGGACACCATTTCAGATGACGACTTTACGTAGGCTTTCACTTTTCTCCACGAGTTCAAGTAGAGCACCTTGATCAGTGCAATGTATTTTCTCGGCATTCCCTTCACAGCCAAACATCGCCATAGTACCTCTCGGTCGACAGAATCGAATACCGCCTTTAGGTTAAGAAATATAACGATTTTTGGAAGCCGGTAAGTATGCCTATGTTCCATTCCAGTGTCTGTCAAAGGGTGAAGATATGATCAATACTCCCTCTTCCTGGTCTAAAGCCTGCCTCGTCCTCTCGTATCTGCTCCTCCCGTGGACCGCTTAGTCTACGCGTTATTATTGAGCCTAGAACTTAAGATACCATATTAGTCGAGCTAATCCCCCTGTGATTATCACAGGAAGACTTGTCTCCCTCCTTGTATATTGGGATAATCAATGACTTGCACCAACCCGACGGGACTTAGTCTGATTCTCAGACGCTGCCCAATACCTTAGTTAACTTAGACAGTAAACTGTCCCCGCCGTCCTTAAACACCTCCGGAGTCATTCCATCAGGCCCCGCTGCTTTGCCTCGTTTCAGACTAGTGACAGCTTTAGTAACCTCAGTTAGGGACGGAGGACCTGTGTCCATATCCCATTCAGGGAGTTGGATTGTCGGTAAGTTGAATGTGGCTGTAGGCCAATTAAATTGTTCCTCGAAGTGTTCTTTCCAACTTTCCAGTTGTCTATCTTGGGAGCTAATTTTTCTCAGAGATTGTTTCACTTATCATTTGCCTTTTACCACCTGTTTCCCTGATAAGCCTAAACAGTTGTCTGCTGTTGCCAATCGCTGATACCTTCTCCATCTCTTCCACTTTTGTCGCCCACCACCGTTCGTGGTCGTTACGAAGGCTTCTTGTTAATTTGCATTTGAGCAGCTTTCGCTTCTCATCATATTCGGAGCTCGCCGGAATCAGTCTTCTTGCGTCAACCAGTTCGGTTGAGGTGGTAGAAATCCAATGGCTCTTACTAACTTTAGGCTTCAGGTTATTAACAGCTTTTACAGCTGTGTCTACAGCTAACTGTATGTTGTGCCAGGCTACCTCAGGGGGAATCCTGCTGTCGACCTCAGATACTCGTTCCGCTATTTCATCCTTAAATAGGAATTCAAAATTTCGACCTAGTTGTGGGTGTAGCTGCCTCTCTGCATAAACGTGCGCTAACGAGGGCATGCTCTGAGTCTACTCACGTGTTCCAGAAGAATCGGCAGTCATCTACTGATCCTCGCCAATGATACCCTATCGCTATATGGTCTATCTGAGTTCAGTATTGATTTGGTGGTCAAGGTCGCCAGGTTACGCAGTGTCTCTCTTTGTGCATAAAGTTAGTGCTGACTAGGAACAGATAATTATCTGAACAGAACTGTAGAAGACGATCACCGTCGTCGCCAGGGAACCCCGTAAGTACACAACATACATCCATAGCTCGAGATACCAGAGTTCTTGCTAGTGATGCCTACTGTCCGATTTGGCACAGGGTCCTTACGTTGAATTCTCCTACATAAAGTTGGCGACGTGGCTTTAAGAGGCTGTCGGGGGTGTTTCTATGGCTCTCACCGTTGTTTGTGGTCACAGGGTGAAGTGAAGATGACTCACTAGCTTGCAGAATAGTACTGGCTGTAGCAGAGAAGTAAGATGATGAGGGTGATGTAGATAAAGGATAATGATGCTCAGGAGGGTTTCATGTGCTTTTGGAAGTGTGTGGGAAATGGATTCCTTAAGGATATATCAATAACTTGGACTTCATTCTATTACATCAGACGAAATTCGAAATTGCTGTTCATTATCCACCCAGTAATGGCAACGTCTTCAGTAATAGCAAAAATAAGCCTTAACACTTCGTAATGAGTTATTCGGTGGAACGCAATCTTCAGCAACTGTTACATGACCGGTTGACAAACACAGCACCTATACAGGAAGTCCCTCAGGTCTTGGCAAGCGTGTGACAGTATGATATAGTTACCTAATGCTCTTGATTCTTGACCAGTGTATATTTGCACATTAAGTCTTGATGCAAAATACGCACACAGCACTGAAGTCTACAGTGCAGCATACTGTTGTTTTCTGAAAACGACTCATAATACTGAAATGAAAAATATTTCAATAATCCTTACTGTTTCACATCTTCGGCTAATTATTTCAGACAATAAATGTTTTGAAGTAATTCCTGTGTACTGTAGTAAAATTTCCGCATGTTCAAGTAGGAAATTAACCATTCATACTTAATATGAAATTGCAGTAGAATTTATTACGGGATAAGACATACATATAGCTAATCTAAGACATCAAGGTTTCTGTACCTGGAAAACCACTAATGATTATTCCAATTTAGATTATTATTGTATCCTTTAATTCCTAGAGGAACATAGGGCTTCAGTCGTGCGTCTCCATTGCGTTCGGTTCTCTGCTAGAGTCTTCACCTGGCTCCATGTCTGCCCACACGTTTTCATCTCCTCTTCACATGACCTCCTCCAAGTCACTCTTGCACTGACGACCAACTCGCCGCTTCTCTTTCGGGTTCCACTCAAGGGCTTGTCTAGTGATGTCACTTGCTTGATGGTTTCCTCAGAGTATGGTCAGCCAATCCATCTCCATTTCTTCCTGCCTATTTGTTTCACAATCGGTTCCTGGTTGGTTCGCTCATTGCAGAGATCTCTGTTGCTGATCTTTTCTGGCCATCTGATCTTGAGCGAAGACAACTGTTAATGAAGGTCTGTAGTTTGTTTGAGATGCTCTTTATGACGCGCAGTGCAAGTCTCTGATCCGTATAGTAGCACTGACTTCACATTGGAGTTGAAAATCCGGATATTATTTTTTGACCTCCACAGAGACTTGAGAGTAGTGAAAGCTTGTCTTGCTTTTCCGATTCTTGCTTTGATATCCTCGTCAGTTCCGCCTGTATTTGAAACGATGCTTCCCAGGTAGGTATGTGAAGGAGGTTGTTTATTTCAGGTTCCTTCCATTTATGCTGATTGTTGCCGTTGGTGGTGTTGCCCAAGAATCTTCATTACCTCTGTTTTCTCTATGTTCACCTGAAGTCCTATCTTTGATGCTTCTTCTGCCGACTTGTTGCTTTTCGCTTGCATATCTTCCAGTTTGTGGGAAATCAGACATATATCATCGGCGAAGTCCAGATCCTCCAAGTTTTTTGTGTGAGTCCATTTTATGCCTGTTTCCTCATTGCCCGCTGTAAATGAAATCTCTTTCTCTTAAGTTCTGCATACCCTGTTGGTGCAAGTACCAAATTCATCTGGTAAATTACCTTATGATCTTTTTCGTTGGTAAATGAACCACATGGATTGAGAGGGAAACAAATCTCAGGAACAAGAAAAAAATGAACCTCAGGGACGAGTAAATTTTGTAACTCTCCTTAATATACCAGAACGTTGCGGCAGTGAGTAGTTAGGCATCGGCGAAGTTATAGTCACATGAACGTATGGAGGCATATTAGCACTTATCAACTAGTCACATAGCATATGTTCAGAAGAACAGTTACTGTCATAACAGAAGTAATTTTGACACCACATCTAAGAGAAACTGGTGATGACTACAGGAGCACACACACACGTGCTATCAGTTTTTATCTATCTAATCCAGTTAGAAAGTCCAGAAAGAAAAAGCAGTAAATGTCAAGTTCACTGCAAATACATACAAAAAGAAATACCTAGAGACGGCGATAATATGCGAAACCATTTTCTCAATGTTAACTTGGATTTTTAAGTATTGGTTTTTCGTAGAGATTATTTTTTGATTGGTTGCGACTGGCTCTATTCAGGCAGTTAACCTGGGGTTCTAGTAGAAAGTCGTGACTAGTAGGGTACAGCAGGTTGAAGATGAGGCAGTAACTCATCGAAGAAGACATTGCGAAATGGTCACGCTATGTCATGAATTGGTAGAAGTTAGAATTCATGGGCCATTAGATCGGGTCCCAGTGGCTTAATGGTCTTACCTTGTAACTAGAAGGTCCTGGTTTCGAACCTCAGTGGGTACGCAGCGATGAAGAGTCCCACACTAGGACGAAACGGTTGTCCAGTACTCCCAGGTTTTCCAATGGTTCTCTAACAAATGTCAGCCCATGAAGAAAACGTGCAACCAATCAACTTGGATTTTTTGTGAGGGAAATAAGAGAATTTAACTCCTTTATTAAATATAGTTAATCTCATAATATAACCGTAAATATCACTTGTATAATTCCAGAGTATGGCTTGTCACTCGGAAGATCACTAGACATCCAATAATCTGCAACAACCGGTTACTTTTTATTCATCAAACAAAGTGAGCAATCAATAAGTGTGTTCACTATTATATAACCTTAGCACCCTGTTTTATCCACAGTTGCCTTCACTGGTTGCATGTTGAAGATCAAATGGCTGACCAGAAAGGATTAGCAACAAAGAACTCTGCAGTGCAACGGACTGAGCAGGGACTTATTGCCCAAGAAAACGGAGATGGATCGAACACACATTGAGGAGGCCGTCTAGTGGAACCCGAGTGGGAAACAACGGTTTAGGCAGGGTTCGGAGAGTGACATGCAGAAGATCCTGTGAGGAGGAGATGAGAGCAGCCTATGTAAAATCGTGGAGCCTGTAGAAAGCCGAATGAAATTAAGGTGTGCTGTTGAAGGATGCCTTATGTTCCACTTGGAACATAAGGCTTCAAACTACAGCTTTAAAGATTCGGTAGCAGTGGTTTCTACTCTTGCGAGGGTGGGGTTGCTAGCTTCACATCCAACCTTTCCTCTTTACAGGCCTTACTACCAGCCTGTAGCAAGGTTTAGGAGTGCGTCAGCCGGGGATCGAACACTGGACCACATTCATGGTTGGCGAGCATTCCTACAGCTAAACCACCGACGCTAAAGGGATGATAATAATACTAAATCCCGTTTTATGAATTAATAACACTTATGGTTACCATAACAATAATACTAATAATAATTTATCAATGAGTTAAGTATGCACATACACAGGATGGCTGTGTCACCTCCACCGGCAAAAACTACCCCCTTTCTGCTGAATGTTTCACAACAAATATTTCATAGTCAAATTTTTTTCTTAAAAAAAAAGACAAAACATATTAGAGTTTAAGTTTTCAAATAGATTTAAATAACTTCTTTTCTGAATTAACAACACATTACTTCTTCTTCTACTATAAATATGAACAAAGGAAAAAGTTAATGCAAATTGAAAAAACGGAATTTTCATACAAACTGGATTATAATTATCAGATAGTATAATGTGATCATAGACATATGGAAAAAAAACACATGATTACACAGCGAATCAATTAAATAACTTAACCCCCGCCTTCTTCTCCTCCTTGTCCTCCTATAGTGTGAGGAGAAAATAAGACAACGATGACGACTGTTGATAATCACGATGATGAGGAGGAAGAACCCAATGAGAACAAATATACAAGAACCAGTACAAAGAAGAAAAAAAGAGGGGGCGGGGGCTATTTAACTGTTGGAAATGTAGAACGATGAGAAGAACACAATCCATTTGGTTAAAAATAAAACACTCACTATGTCTTGTCAAATAAACAAAAATAAATGCTGCATGAGAAATAAGATAAATAAATAAATAAACAATTATGGCTAGGTCGGCTCAATTGAAATAATATGAAGCGCTGAATCATGGAATTATTGACGATACTACTACTACTACTACAATCGTACACATGAGATGATAACACGTTTAAAAAAAATTATAATAACAGTTTGTCGAAAAGAAGAATTGTGAGATCATAATTTTTTAAAAATAATATAACAATTGAAACAATAGAATAAAAAAATATTATTGTAATATATTATAGTAATAATAGTAATAAGGAAAAACCAAATTTACTATAATAATAATTATTTATTATTATTTATTATTGCATAATAAAGTTATACATTTTGGTGTGTCGCATAATAAACATTTCATTGCCATTATAAAATAATAACATTATTGATTAATAATTATCATCATGATTAGTACTCATATTATTTACACAAACTCACACACGAATACACAATAATATGCTGAACAGCATTATACATTTTACACCCCATAGGAAATATATAAATTATACATAGAAAGCTTAAAAATGAAGCGATACTTAAAAAAAAAGAAAACAGGCAATAAGATAGGTCATTATCATCGGCCAAAAGAATTATGCAATATCACACAGTGAATCACTTTCAAAATGGATAATATGATAACATAATAGACGTAAAAGTAGTAAAAGTAATAATATTAGTAATAATAATAATAACAATTGAAATAATAAACCGACCAGCAATATTATTACATAGAAGTGAATATGTATGTACAAGACTTAAGAAAAACATCACAACATAGAGTACTAAACCGATGTCGGCAATTGACAAATCGAAGATGTTAATGTTACTGCTGCCGTTGATGATGGGGATGATGTTGATGAGTTGTTTAAATTTGATGTTAGATCCGATAAATAATTATTTGTCAATGGTGAGCTATTCAAATCCGTATTGTTGTTGTTGTTGTCATTATTATTGTTATTATTATCATTACTATGCAAAGAATCTTTTAATGTATACACAATAGAGTTGTTTAGTGCTTCTTCTGTAGTAGGCGTTTTATTAAAATTCAAATATTCTTTTAGACAATCTATTCTTTCATTGTTTAATGATGAAAAAGAAGCATCGTTGGAATCACTAGTGGCAAGCTCTAGGGAGATAGTAGATTCTTGTAAAACTTCAGAATTGATTGCTGATGGAGTTGAGTTTAATACTGTAACCTTGGATGTTTGTAAGCAAAATTTAAAAAAGCATATATTTATCACTACATATATATATATATCATACATATATCAGCTTAAAAACCAGGGAGAAGTAAAGAGCTGTTTCGTCCAAGTTCGGGATCCTTTAGCAGTAAGCACCCATGAACCTACCTACCAAGGGTAGAACCCAGGACCTTGAAGTAATGGGGCAAGCTCGTTGACCATTCAGCCACTGGGATAGAATCCAGCGGCCTGTGCATTCTAGCCTCTGTCTATTTTCGCAACACTGTCAGCCAATGGGAAAGGTCGTGACCAGTGGGGTGCACCAGGTCGAATATGAAGACAAATACCCACCGATGACATCGGCTGGCGGTCGCATTAAAATCACAAATGGACTTGAGATAGAATTCATGGGGCTATTATCGGGTAGCTGAATGGTCGCCTCATAACTTGAAGATCCTGGACCATGAGTATGTACTGCTGAAAGAGTCCTAAACTAGGATGGATTAGCTGTTCAGTACTCTCTGGTTTTCAATGGTTCTCCAAATGACACCAATCCATAATCCAAACAGTCAAACCTTCTACAAACTAACACTTGATGTGTGTTTGACATAAGACTCTAATACTTTTAACAGAAAACTAATGAATACTAATACAATAAATTTAAAAAAGTATATAACATTATTTACCATCGAATGTCTTGCTCATATTTATGTTGTAACTGTTAATCTTTTTAATGAGACAGGTGCTATCGCTATTATTTCTAATGAATTGAATCTGAGTTCAGAAAAAATTTATCCAAACCCTATTCTTATTGCTCTTGCCTGATTACCGTATTAACCACACACACACACACACCTGTTATCCAACTCCTTAACTTACTCAAAAATTAAAAGTAAGAGAGGTGTCTACAATTCGTACTGGACTTCCTCAAATTAATTGTTCATCTTATGAATTAAAAGTTTACAGAATATCAAGCAACAACAACGAACACCTCGTAAAACATTTTTAAAATAATTTTATCATGCATAAATACTCTTCATTCATAATAATAATAATAATAATTGTTTTAATGATGCGTGACTAATTCTGAGTCTGTGGTTCAATGGTTATGCCGACCCCGCAAGCTGTCCCAGGCTGGATTCTGGGCCAAATCAATGCTACACCTTGTCTAGGCGATAATAAGCCTTTCACTGTTGAAACTTCGAAAGCAAAAGAATGTTAGATGTTAGGGAGGCAATCAACAGGAAGCCACGCCTGACCTCAGTTTCGTGCTAGGTGGCACTCGCTAGTCAGCAAGGCGTATCTGCGACCTTGAAAGAACTCATGTCCCCTCTGAGGTTCGAACCCGCGTCACCCAGTGCTGCAGTCAGTTAGAGACGTTATCACTGAGCTATTCGGGCTCGCTATTCACCTCCCATGAGGCTGTATTCGATACCTAGAATGGTAGTCACACTGCAAACCTGACTGATAGTATTCAGTCTGCACCAAACAGACTCGACACACACACACACACATTACACTAGTTACTGACTAGTGTCCAATGAAAAGTATCCAGTACAGTCCTACAGAAAGTCAATTGCGAGTCCGAATAGCTCAGTGGTAACGTCTCTGACTGCGTCACTAGTTGACGCGGGTTCGAATTTCAGAAAGGATATGAGTTCCTTCAATGTTTCAGATACACCTTGCTGACTGGTAAGTGCCAACTAGCACGAAACCTAGGTCAGAGGCTTCCTGTCGACTGCCTCCAACCATCTAATATCATCGAATCAATGTACACCGTGATCGTGAGCCAACTAGCATGGTGGCCACATTGGAAACTTGACTGACAGAATTCAGTCTGCACCAAACAGAGGACTAGACACACACAAACACATTACACTAGTTACTGACTAATGTCCAATTAAAGCAAAAGAATGTATTTTAAAAAGTGATCAAATATTATCCTATCACACTGATATCTTATGGTGTAATTATTAGAATAACATACTAATTATCAGCGTAGAATTATGAAAACGAAGTTGACTGAAAAGAAGTATTCCTTTGCCTTATTCCTTGGTTTGTCAATAAGATTGCTAATATAATGGAAACAGTGTAGGCAGATAGTTACCAATCCATGGTATGAGTACAATACTAACAATATTATTATTATTACTATCGCTGCTATTAATGATGCTAATTAGTTTATCCAGTACAGATGTCTTTATCCACCATATTTATGACTTACCTGATGCCAAATGTCAAGTGAATCACAACAGAAAGCTCAGTAAAGAAGACAGCAGTAGGACAAGGTTGCCTACTATTACCGATGGTAGTCTTGATTCTAGTGGGATGGACAATTGTTGGTGTTTGACGGCCGGAGACAATCAGCAGAAAGCCTGGAACCTAGGTTTCATGTTATTTGGCACTCATCAGCAAGGCGTATCTGCAACCTCGAAGGAAGTCATGTCGCTTCTGAGATTTGAACCCGCGTCACCCAGTGCTGCAGTCAGTCAGAGACGTTACCACTGAGCTATTCAGGCTCGCAACTGTCCAACCAGGAATGCACAATGTGACAGACCATGGAGAGTGAGAAGACAGATATACGTTGGATCGAAAAAACTCCAGAAGATTTAGACTTTGCGGATGATTTATGTTTACTGTCACAAGAACTCAAAGATCTAAAGGCGAAAACAAATAATTTGCAGGGAGAAATACCGAAGGCAGGAATTCAACTGGACACAGAGACGACTATAGGTGATGAATGAAGATATATCTAACCCACAACAACAACAACAACAACAAGCACCAAACACTCAGTAGCAAAAGGAGAAATCTAAAGGAACTCCTGTCTTTTAGTTATCAAGGCAGTATCACTTCAACAACAGACGGCACAGATGACAATGTCAAGAGCTAGCCTGAATTGGAAAAGCATTACAGACCTTCATTAATCTGAAATCAACCTGGACATCGACTGCACTCAACATAAAGAACAAAATTCGGAAGTTTAACACTAATGTCAAGTCAGTCATTGTTTCTATATAGTTCCAAGGCTTAGCGCGTCACGAAAAGTATTTCCAGCTAAATACTGCACACTTTCATCAACATTCACCTTTGCTCCACACATACTAGCCGTTCAGAAAGCATTAGCAACAAGAACCTCTGACAACGAACCAACCGAGAACCTGCTGCCCAAAAAAGTATGCAAAAAGAAATGGAAATGGATTGGTGGTATGCCGAGACTGTTAACTGACATCACGTGCCTGGCCCTAAAGTGGAGTTTTGGCATCCGAGGGTGACATGGAGGAGGTCGTGGAGAGAACTGTATAAAATGGAGATGTGTTGCTGAAGCCTTATGTACCACTCGGTGGTAGGTACCCAAGGGAACAATAATACGATGACTTTCAAAACATAACTATCTGATTACCTAGAGGGAAACAGAGCATGAATTGATTCATAAACATTAAAAATATTGATAAACCAATTTTGTTTTTTTTTAACTTACTGTATCGAATATCGATTGTTCACCATCATTATTGCTATGATCATTTTGATTTACAGTACAAATAACTGAAAGTGATTGTTGTTCAGAGCTTGTTGTAACAATATTTGTAGACTTCAATAGGGATTCTGTTGAATCAGAGTACGTTAGAGTGAAATTATTATTATTATCATTATTATTATTATTTGCGAGAGGATTAACTTCGTATAAAGTTGAAGTCAATTGATTTTCTCCTAAAACACTAGTTGTACCAGAAACACTAGTCTCATCCAAATGAACAACAGCAGCAGGGATATTTAAATCGATTACTTCTACATCATTTGATAAGTAATCTGAGAAGAGAAAAACAAATAACAAAAATGAATTAGATGGAGGATTTCATCATAAGCTGACATCAGTTAGGAAACCACTGGAAAACCAAGCAGGAAGTACTGGACAGCTGTTTCGTCCTAGTTTGGGACCCTCCATCAGTGCGCATCCATCGGAGTTCGAACCCAGGACCTTCTGGTTACAAGGCTAGCGAGCTCGTAGACCATTGAGCCACTGAGACCCTATCTAATGGCCAACCCATGAATTCTAACTTCTGCCAATTCAGGACATAGTGCGACCATTTCGCAATGTCTTCTTCGATGATTTACTGCCTCATCTTCAACCTGCTGTATTAAATTAAACTGCTGAAATATAACAGTGACAAAAGCTGAATGCCATAGATTCCTTATTTAGTGTAATACACATATAAGGTGAATAAATATCAAGGCATCAAAACAGTTAAATACCGATTGAATTGTTCAGCTTAGTTCAACTAAAACAAACAAGCGACATAGAATACACTCAATACTGGACAGTTTACATGTATAACAGAAATATGATCGTTTATCTCCATGTCTGCACTACTAAATGATGCAGTAGCAATACACTTTTCAGAAAGAATTAAAGTTTTTTCTTTCTTCAAGATCAGTATGAATTGTGCAAATTACCACCCATTTATGTCAAATGACTGACGCCTAACTATGACCCACTTATTTATCACTTTGAAATAAAAAGGGCATCAGTTCAATTGATCACAGTTCAGAAAAAGAAGTTATAATGATAACAATTCTGAGTCATCTCACACAATCAGTCTCAAACTCCGGATTCTTAGTATGTATATCCAGGAGGACCTCAACTAAACAGTCTACTACACGTTATGTGATTCAATGACTTCCAACTATCTAATAACAACAATCCTGAGTGTATCGTGATGGCAAGCCGCCTAGTATGGTGGCCACATTGTAAACTTGACTGATAGAATACAATCTGCAATAAACAAAGGACTAGAAACATGACACTAGCTAGTGTCCAATCAAAAGGATCAATGACTTCATTGAGTGGTTCCACTTTTTTTAAATGACTGTACTTAACACCTTATTCACGAAGGCGGTGGCTTGGTATATGTAACACATGCCCTAGCCAGTCGAATCAATGAAGTTTCACAATCCAATTGATTCACTTCCTGTCTCTACATAATACATATTATTCTCATTACATATCGCAATGCTCCATCTGATGCCGAAAACTACTAGTCTTTATTTTATGATTTCTGCCTTCAGACTACAAATGAGTGCCGATGGGTATTACCATCCCTCCCTGTTCTGAAGGAAATATTCAGCCGGGATATCACACAGCAGAATGTCTGTTGAGAGTTTTCTAATCTTAAGCTTTGCACCATCTCTACAACCCAAGTACATGAGAACTTACTAAAAGAAATCGCAGGACACACGTCACTATACTGCTCAATGAAGTTTGAAAGAATAACCTCATTTTGGTTTCGTATGTATATCTCAGAAACAACATGAGTCCAAAACCCGAGATGTTAAGGTTTCCGATGGTGCGGCCTATTATCACATTTAACGTTGAATTATTGAATGCTCCAATATGAAGTTCACAGAGTAGTTTTAGGAAACTGGGGACGTTGTCTGTCTGACTCAATCAATAGCTATAGTCTGGGGGGAATAGTATCGTCAGTGAGGTGGGAATCTCGAAGAAGAATTAGAGGGTATTGGTGAATACAATGTATTTATGTACTTGTGGAAGTATGTGACATCGCAACTCCCCAGCTTCTTACACTGTCAAAGTTAGTTTCTACTGGAATTATCAGAAACAGGTAAGAGATTTGTTTTACATGACCACAGAGTCCAACAGACAATTTCTTCAGCCCCACCATGCACACAGCCTTTTGTAGGTGAAGTTTGGAAAGATTCATCCTTAAGGATAATCTTAACAGTGGTTACATATCTCCACAGAGTGTTAAGATCCACAATTTTTAGGGACAATATTTTCTAATTTCTTCGCTCTTTGAACATGTTTGTGCGTCGGTGGCACAGCGGTTAGGATGCACACCTGATATCAATGATCGGCCTGCAAAAATTTGGGCTACAGATATCAAATCCTGAGAATTCCTTACTTGTACCAAAAATACTGTGTGAGACCAAGCTATAATCAAAAATATTTTAAAAAAATAAGATAAAGAATACAGTACAGCTGGATTGTCCTTTGCGAAGTTAAAGCATCTTATTGCTATTAAACTGAAATCTACCAGTAGTACGATATCTTCTTCACACCATCATAGGGTAATCGACTTTATGGAGTACTAGAACATATAAAAACAATTGTTTCAGCCAGTACACTTTCGTTGGGACATTTCAATTGGCAAGCATAAACGTAACGTCAATGTAACAACTATTGGTCAAGGACCCATTATGGTCCACACAATACTAACGCTGCTTGACTAATCACTGTTGCTAAGCCTTTTTAAGGTAGGATAAAAATGCTCTTGCAAGATAAACGAAGTTATTCTTCAATTAAATCTCCCTTCAGATATAATCAGAGTCTGTGATCATTAGCTTGACCATTTGTTTTCCACCATTGTATGGCTAACCTCCAGTTCAACTACAAATCCGTCAGCGGTCTACATCTCAGACTTGTTATAGTAGGATATGATGACGGAGACACTCATGGATAAAAAGTAATTATTCTCTAGTAGGCACCTGTTTCTTGGCAGTGTTCTGCATTTTTCGAAAAGACAGAAGCACTGTCCCCTGATAAAATCTTTAAATAACGGAGGATATTTGCAATTCAGGTGGATGTATTCAGTATATCCAGCTCCGTGGAAATAACGCAATCATCTACCTGAGCTACAAATCTTCTCCATTATTCCAAAACTCACTATCACAGATTAATGCAGATATTTATTAAATACTCACTTAATCCTAATAGATGTTTAAAAAGAGGGTGCCATTTATTTTAAGACTTACACATCCTATATAACTCAAGTTGGTCTTATTGTCAGCAGAAACAATATGTAATGATAGTTTAAGACAAGCAGTAAATGTTAATAAGACAGGATTTAACGAAACCGCAGAATTTCGGTAGAGCTTTTCAATGACTCATGTAACCAATTATCTTCACCTATTGGTTCTTAGAATGATTTTCCTGATTGCAGTAGATTGGATAATGTACTGAGGAAACAGGCATAAAATGGATCCATAAATGGATCTGGACTTCGCCGACGATATATGTCTGATTTCCCACAAACTGGAAGATATGCAAACGAAAAGCAACAAGTTGGCAGAAGAAGCATCCAGAGAAGATAGGACTTCAGGTGAACATGGAGAAAACAGAGGTAATGAGGGTTCCTGGGCAACACCACCAACAGCAACAACAACAACAGACAACAATCAGCATAAATGGGAGGAACCTGAAAGAAACAACCTCCGTTACCTACCTGGGAAGCATCGTCTCAACTACAGGCAGACGGAACTGACGAGGATATCAAAGCAAGAATCGGGAAAGCAAGACAAGCTTTCACTACTCGCAAGTCTGTGTGGAGGTCAACACTCAGCACTCAGCATCAAAAATAAGATCCGGATTTTCAACTCCAATGTGAAGTCAGTGCTACTTACTACATGGATCAGAGACTTACCGCGTCATGAAGAGCACATCAAACAAACTACAGACCTTCATTAACAGCTGTGTTCGCTCAATACTTAAGATCAAATGGCTGGTCAGAAAAGATCAGCGACAGAGATCTCTGGCAATGAGCGAACCAACCAGGAACCGATTGTGAAACAAATAGGCAGGAAGAAATGGAGATGGATTGGCCATACTCTAAGGAAACCATCAAGTGACATCACTAGACAAACCATTGCTCGAGTGGAACCCGAAAGGGAAGCGGCGAGTTGGTCATCAGTGCAAGGGTAACCAGGAGGAGGTCATGTGAAGAGGAGATGAAAACGTGTGGGCAGACGTGGAGCCAAGTGAAGACTTTAGCAGAGAACCGAACGCAATGGAGACGCACGGCTGAAGCCCTATGTTCCTGTAGGAATTAAAGGAAACAATAATAATAATGATTGGTTCTTAGAATCCCGAGGACCCTCACCAATCAGTCTATACCTACCTACGTGGCTGCCTCGAGCTAACTGTCAAAGATGTCATGGATTGATTCCAAGTCTTGGTTTGACTACCATTAGCTCTTTACCAACCTGACCAGTCCTATGTCAGCTAACATAACCTGTTGTCTGGGAAGGTGATGTAGTGAAACATGTCCTAGACATCTCAGTTGTTGTAGCTTCACAACCTCATCGATTGACTTTCCTACTTCCTTACCTAACAGTCGATATCTAACTTCGATATCACTCGCTCTAATATACCGCCTACCACGGGAGATAGAACGTAGACACCTATGATCAATTTCAAAAATGATAGTAACCACACATTACACAGATGATTATAAGTTATGCGTACATTTTAAAACACATTGTTCAGGTTATGTAAGAGCAAGAAGTATTAACACTGGAACAATTAGTATACACTTACCTAAAATCGGTTGACAATTCTCCGATACACCATTATTATTATTGTTATTATAATGTGAAGAGAAGTATACAATGCCTTCATTATTTTTATTATTATTATTATCATTACAACTTTCAGTAGTAACCATATAAGCAACAGAAGTAGTGCTGTTTCCATGATGACCACCCACCTGCATTAACATCTGTGTTAGATATTGAGGAATTTATATTTATTGTATGATTGTTATATTATTATTATTACTACTATTATTATTGTTGTTGTTATCAGTATCCGCGCTACTAAGATCATTAGACGTCCATATCTCATTTGTTGTATATTCATAACCTGATGATTCATTACAACAGTTAGCAGTAACAATGCTAGAATTGAAATCCATTTGATGATTAGGATCTGTTTGAGCAATTTCAATTGGTGTACCAGTCATATAGTATAACTGACCATCTGAACTCATAACAGGATACAGCTGGATAAATGAATATGGTGTTAATGATGATTCATGTGTAAGAGATGATTCACAATTTGTTGTAACACTGGTGGTCACTGGATGATGAAATTGATTGTCAGAAGAAGTAGAATAAACTGGATTATCTATTGATTGATTGATTACTTCATTAGATATTAAGACGTCAGAAGATGTTAAAGTAGAATTGTGTTGTGTATCAGACATCCAGGGGATAGGATAGATTTGAATACTCGGCATAGAAGAATTTGTTGTTGAAAACTGTAAAGTGGATATTGGGGGGAAAAAACAACAGTGCTGTGTTATACTGAAACAGGCATATTTAAATCGCAGTTATAAGTTTAGAAACAAGCATTTATTTAGAATTTAATTGGTGGATAGTGACTAGCAGTGGAATCCAGGATAACGAGCATTTCGTCCTATTTGGGACTCGTCCACCAGCTGGATGTACTTGCATTCCCCAATGAGTGATGATGTTCCCACCGAGGCTTGAACCCAGTGCTCATAGTTTCAAACGCCGATGCGTTATCCACTAGACTATTTGAGCCACGAAATGCGCATCCTGGATTCCACTGCCAGTCACCATCCACCAATTAAATGCCCAGACATCGTCGAAGCATCTGCACAAGAAGCCGACATGTCAACCTGACACCGAGCACTTCGGTCCAATCAATCGACGGGAAAATCTAAAATTCAATTAAGCATTCATTTAGATTTGTAGCACAATATATGAGAAGACTAGTTCAGTGCGTAAATAAATGTCCACGTATCAGTTCACCTGTTGCTGTGGAGTCAGGTATAATTGGTCGTTCGACACGTATCCTGTCTAAAAGGGGTTGAAGAACGCTATCCTGCACGGTTACAGAAAGGTAGTAACGGCTGTCTAAGGAGTGCGAGAATCGAACATCTCGTCAACACTGGTCATTCCATATCACAGCAAACACCTTCAAAGTGAAGAATAACCTACCAAAGGCAATACGCTTTCGTCTTCTTTGTATTGCTGAAACCTTAGCCATTCATTTGGAAAAACCAGAGTTATGCATACAAAAGAAAATCGCTCAACCACTTCTGCAATCATGGTAACAGCTATGTTGATTTCTACTGCCTTGATTTTTGTTTACTTGTTTTTCTAACTCATTTTAATATTTCTTTAGGACTATTACGTAATTCTGTATTTTCCTTCGTTTCTAATGTGCATCCTGATCACAAAATCACTCATATGAAATTATTCATTTGTTACGCGTAACTGCAACACACTACTTATTCAACTTTATTTATGCATTGACAACTCATCACACTACAACCCTCTTAGTAATCTTCACTCCTCCTTGTTACAATTTGATTATTCATCACATTTTTTCAAAGTATTTTGATGACGTAAACAATAGCTCTGGCTAATATTTATTCTTGTCTGACAAACCTATTGTACAGGCACACATATATACAAAAACATTTGTCAAGTATTGGTTTTGTAGGGATTTCTTTTGATTGCATGGAGGATTTCATCATGAGCTGACATCAATTAGAGAACCACTGGAAAACCAGCTGGGAGTACTGGACAGCTGTTTCTTCAGCCTAGTTTGGGACTCTCCATCAGTACGCACCCACCACCAGCGTTCGAATCCAGGACCTTCTGGTTACAAGGCTAGCGAGCTCGTAGACCATTGAGCCACTGAGACCCGATCCAATGGCCAACCCATGAATTCTAACTTCTGCCAATTCACGACATAGCGTGAGCTCGCCTTGTAACCAGAAGGTCCTGGATTCGAACCCTTTCGGTGGGTGCGTACTGCTGAAGAGTCCCAAACTAGGCGGTCGAAACAGCTGTCCAGTACTCCCAGCTGGTTTTCCAGTGGTTCTCTAACTGATGTCTGCTCATGATGAAATCCTCCATGCAAAAAAACAATTGTATATAATTGCGATTGTACAGATAAGTAAATGAATTTACCGCCTAAAAGAGACTCTTCGTTGACCTATATGTTCTGTTTTCACTGAATCAATGTCAACAAGCTTGCACATCATTATCAATATTATTTTGTGTAAAATACAAATCCTTCAAGTTAGAGACACAGAAAATCAATTCCACGATAAATCACGAACTGACGTCTGTTAGAGAACCACTGAGAAAGAGGGAGTACTGAATAGCTGTTTCATCCTAGCTCGGGACTCTTCTCCAGAAGTACGCATCCCAAAACCTTCAGGTTACGAGGTGAACTCATTGACCATTTTAGCCACTGTGGACGGAATCTTCTACTAGCTGATGAGCTCCAGCTCCTATCGATCTGCGACATATGGCATCACCGCTAGGCAATATCATTTCTATGTTATACATGTTCAGACAGTTCAAGGGTGAATTTTATCATTCTTTAAAATCAAAATCACTCATCTTCAAAACTGTTACTGACAAAAATGTTTAATATCAAAACGCCACTGTCATCCGTTTTCCTTAATGACTGCAAAATTTTTTCTTCACACCTCTATCTTCAACTTCTGTTCGACCTATATATTCTGATCATGGAGTGATTTCATTGAATAGCAAATCCGGTAATTTAAAGTCATATAGTAAACCAAATATTCCAGTTTTTAATGTCTGTACCAAACATTTAATCGGACAGCAGATTAAAAAGGTAACGGTTTCGAACATTCGTCTTATCTGCAGAAACTAATAATAACAATCTGATAGAGTTTTGTTTATCCTTCATACAATCTCCAACCAAAACAAAGCATTTCGAAAAAGATAGTTAATACCCCCCAGCTCTACTTAGTGTTGGAAAGATACTAAACTTAATCCAAAATCTTCTTTATAAATTTCTCACGATAGATTATTATTATTGTGCCAGTCTCGTACATGGCGTGGACGTTTCATGTCTCCACATAGACTTTTTCTTTTGTTGCGAGGAGACTCATCGTGCTGACGTTTCTGTAGCAGCTTTGTTTACAAGGTGGGGTTGCTAGCCTCACGCCTAAGAATGGAGTTATTGCATGTATATGTACTTTACTGAGGGGCGACTTCATGGGTTGCTCCCGTAGAATCAGGAAAACAAGGTATAAAGCAATCAAAACAACATCAGCAAAAGGAAGAAAAATGTATAACAGGAAGGGCAGCGACAACAACAATGAAAAACCGTAGCAGTAGTATCACTGCAAAATAAAGTCAACAAAAATGATATCAAAACCATAGACTCTTTGACTTGGGTCAATTTAGACATTTAAATCCAACAATATATACAATTATAGATATTAGTTAATTTTAAAGTCACAAAATACCAAAAAGATAGCTAAAGGTATTATCAGTCAACAAGATTATATCCACAGATTCAGTGTTCGAAAGTCAAATAATTACAATAAATTCCACAACTTCCTGGCAAGAAACGCCAGAGAAATAAGAGTTTTATGTAACTGAGCAAATGTAGCCTACTAGTCGAAAAGCGCGTCATGACAGCTTACTCTTCTGTTATTCTTGTTCGTCAAAATAAGGAATTTCTTACACTGTTAGATGACGTTCTGTTTCCCAGTCACTGCTTGTTATAAACGGATCCAATACCTACATTTAGTTTTTATTACTTTTAACTCCTAAAAATGACGTGGTATGGCCAAAGGTGTGTGTAGACTTCGGTCTCCTTCTCGAATTGCTTTCATGTGGCAGCTGTGTTACTCAAAAAAAAGTCAAACGATGAATGCAAATATCTGGTGATTACAACCGGATTGATAGACATGTTGGTCTACCCAGAAGGGTTGAAAAAAACTCTGATTCCAGACAATATGGTGAGCGTGAACTGTAGAATTCGAACGGATTGATTGGCGTATAAACCTGTTTTGCACACTGGAAACCATGAGAGCGTGATCAAACCAAAATATTTGATACGTTACGTAGATGACACATTTGTAATAATCAAAAGAAAAGAGTTGGATAAAACTCACAACTTAATAAACAACGTTTTAAACGACATCAAATTCACAAGAGAAGAGGAGTCTGAGGACAAAATCCCATTTTTGGACGTCTTAGTCAAACGAAAAACCACAGGGGAATTAGAAACTCAAGTTTATAGAAAGTCAACTCACACAGACGAAATACTGAATTCCAACAGAAACAGTCCAATAACACACAAAAGGAATTGTACGCAAACATTATTCAAGAGGGCCGGGACTCATTGCAGCACTCCAACCTTAAGGAAAATTGAAGAAAGATATTTCATGGATGTCTTCCAAAATAATGGATATCCACGGAACTTCATCAAAAGACATGCGCCACCAAGCCAACCTACCAAATCAAAGGCCCCCAAGGAAAACACAAAGAAAATCGCCCTACCATTTATTGAGGACATTTCAGAAATCACTGCAAGACTCTTCAAACCTTTAGGAATTGATGTAGCACACAAACCAACAAAATCACTCCACTCAGCTGGCGCTGTGCCAACCAAATGACTCAACAACGAAAGAAGATAAAACCAATATCATCTACAAGACAAATTGTAACAACTACGAAAAACACTACATTGGCGAAAGTGGACGTCCTCTTCGTCTTTGTATCCATGAACACAAAAACTAGCCGTCAAAAGACATGACATTCACTCCCTCATATCACTACATACAGACAAGCACGGACATCAGTTCGACTGACACAACGTTCAAATATTAGATAGAGGAAACAAAAAGAATGCCAGAGAATTTTTAGAAGCCTGGTATTCCAGTGAATCGTCGATCAAGAGATACATCGAGATAGACAAAATTTACCAGTCGATAAGAATGAAATCTCACACACAAAGAGTTAACGTTCAAGTCAAGGAAACAATCAGTACCAATACAAGTAGCCTGGAGGGTGTGAAAACACGCAAAAACAACTAATCACGTTCAAGGTCACCAGAAGAGATGACTAATGAACTCGTGGAGAAATCTAGAAGCTCACTTCGACAAATTGAAGTATGCACTGAAGATGCTGCCTAGTAGGGTAATGAAAGCTTCGCGAATTAACTATCCAGCTCAGAGAACACAACCACATCAGAAAACTTTGTGTAAGACTAGACATTTTAAACCAACAGATAAATTAACACATAAACTAACATTAATGATAAGTTAAAGAATTCAAAATGGGTATTATCAACATGAGACAAAACTTTTCGCTGTACTGACCCAAGTTGTTACATATACGTCTCCATATAAGGTGGAAAGTGATAAAATGAAAGAAAAAAGAAGTAAGACAGAGTAAACGTTGCAGAGTGTCACAATAAAGATGAAGAAAACGTAGCATTGGAGTCAACTCAGAACGCCACCCCCCCCCCCTCATTCACTTAATATCCAATCACAAATCCTAGTGATTACAAGCATGTAATTTTCTCAGAACTCACATTTACTTACACAACACAGATAAGGAGTCAGTGATTTCACAAATTAGCCCATATTCTATTTTCTCTCTATCTAATTCACCTTTCAATGAGACAGTAACTCGAAGCAGATAATCGTTGGGTGTGTGTAGCATGGTAAACGACTAGTATGTTGTTGATAGTCATCCGATGTTCAGACGACCACTTTCATCTGGCTGGCTAGCGAACAAGCACAACTGATTGATGTGAATGATTTCTAACTACTCATATGAATCAGTAGTAGTGTGTACAATTATGTGATTTAATTGACTTTTTCGAATGCTATTTATGATACTGTCTGTCTATCTCTGTCTATTTTCAACATAGAACTTTGCACCAATGTGCAGCAGTTCAAGTCGCCACACTCCATGTAGCACACAAAGCAAGAGAAGAAAGTAAAAAGAGATTCAAAACAGAGATATGAGGCAAAAGGAATAGTAATAACGAAGAATAATATAGTTTCATTGGAAATTATAAGTCACAATGAGTGGATGCATCTGCGCCAGCCATTGAGAACTATTTTGAGCCATATCACCGATTGTCTCCAGCCTTCATTGGTTTTCACCGTCCTGAGGACCCCAACCAGTCAGGAAGTCTACACCTTCCTACGAGACTGGCTGAAACCAACTGTTGTGGATTTGATTGACTGATGAAGCCATGTTTTGGTTTGACTACCATGTGTTAGCTCTTTTCCAGTCTGACCCTATATCAGCTAACATTGCCCGTCGAGGAAGGCAATGACTAGGCTAGGCATGTGTAACATATGTCCTAACCATCTCAGTTGATATAGCTTCACAGCCTCATCGATTGATTTCCCCTCCTTACCTAGCACTCGACCGAAGCCTAACCTCAATATTGCTCACTTTTTTATGCCACTTTACACGGGAGATAGAACGCAGGCACCTGTGATCAAAAACAGCCAGTCTTTTCATGTCTTTCACTCTGTTTATGATACAAGCTAACAGCATATATAAGTGACCTGAATATTTTGGTTTATTAAACAAAACTTACAGCAATTTTCAGCTGGAACTGCATAATTCGTATGCAAATAAGGAATTAAATTCTACGGTGAAGAAGGACTTCAGATATGATTTTCAATGAACTCGCTAACCAATGCTGGATCATGAAGACAATCTAACAATTGAAAATAATCAAAATCCAACCCCCCCCCCCCACAAGTCTAATAATCTAAATATCAATCTCCAGCTGCTCACTGATGACTGCTACTGGATGGATTTCCTGAAGCTGTTGCAGTGGGAAGTCATAACCAATGGGGTCCACCATGTATCAAGGCGAAGTGGATGCTCATCGAAGGCCCTGATGAGGGGCAGCGCTACAACACGAGTTGACAGAGTTAGAATTCACAGGTCGCTGAATCTCAGACCCAGTGGAGGAATGGTCAACGAACCTGAAGGTCCCGGGTCCGACCCCTGTTGGGGTTGTGAGTGCCTACTGATGAAGAGACCCAAGGATAGGACGAAATATCTGTCCAATACTCCCCCACACAACTGGTTGTCAATGATCTCTTATGACAAAAATCTAACACAATTGAAATTAATCCAAAATCCCCACAAATCTTACAATCTGAATTCACATTTACACTACTGCTAAGATTTATGAATACTAATCAACCTTGTTTATTTTGTGATGAAATAGAAAAAAAAATAACTAAGTAAAAAGTCACGTTCTTAAACGTGTTTGAATCATTAATCTGAATCGTTATTCAGATTCTGTGTACAAGAACTGAGTGTCCACAGATAGAAACACACACACCACACACACGAGTCTTTCAAGACAGGAGCACACAGTGCAAAAACACTTACAGCTATTTTATACGGTAGAAACATAAACACACACACACTCTGAAATGCTTGAATACTGTAACGTTATCAACTGATAATCAATTAAAACAAATATATTTTTAATTTCAAGTTTACCGCTTCAAAAAATGCCATTTTTACTCTTGTTTAATGCAGAATCTCTGCATCAGCAACAAGAGGGAGGCATTTAATAATACCACTGGTTTTCCTTTGAAATCAGTCAGTCTGTGAAAGAATACACAGTTACTATAAGCCTAGTTTATATTTACCTCGACTGAAAGATGAAGTACCTAGACTAGCCACTTCAAATTGTATTTATCAATTCAACTGCGCTTGTGGAGCGAGTTATGTTGGCCGTTGCTCTAGGAACTTGATTTTTCGTGCTCGAGAACATATCCCACTATGGCTAAGTAAAGGTGTAGTTAAAACTATTAACAGCTCGATATTAGACCATCTGGTGCAAACCGGTCACAAAGCCAGCGTAGAAGAGTCCTTCTCTATAATATACCGAGTGCCTAACAAACTACCAAAATCGTCGAAGCACCGCATGCTCCAAACAGCAGAGGCTATTGCAATTCGCCTCAAACAATCAGTGCTCTGTGTCCAAAAGAAACAAGTCCAGCCCCTACTACTGTCCTGCCCGGCCTTCAGTAGAGACTATAAACTCATGAATTTGTACTATTACCTTCTTCTGACATTTAGTTTAATTTATGTTGATGCTGTTCAGCTGTAATTTATCAATATTATTGATTTGATGTTATTTAAACATTAATGTCGCTCATAAGACTAACTCATTCATTCATTATAATGTATATATAATTGTAGAACCTGATGATGAATTTATCGAAAAGAGTACTCTTTGTTCCGTATCTCTTCTTTTGAAAATTTTAATGGGCATTTTTAATCAGTTAAAATATCATTTCCATTCATATAATCTACAGCTATAAAAAAAATACAGGTGAATGAATAATAAGAAAAGAAGAAAGAATGCCATAGAAAATGCAGATGGATCGGGCATACACATTCAGGAGACCACCAAGTGACATTATATGCCAGGTCATCGCTCGAGTGGAATACCCAAATGAAAAAACCGACAAGTTGAGCGTGTGTACAAGGGCGACATGGAGGAGGAGATTGTGTCAAGAGGAGGTGAAAGCTTGTGGGAGATCATGGCGGCCGGCTGAAGAGGACTGTAGAAAACAGGACAAAACGGAGATGTACTGTTGAAGCCGTGTAATCCACTCGGAACCCAAGAGAGTAAAAATAATAATAATACGAAAGAAAATAATAACAACAGTCAATTGACTTAATTACAAACTCCAACAACTTACAGGTACTAAAGCTGCATCCGTAACAACATTATCCATATTGTGTGAGATATCATTACTACTGAAAGGAAGTTGTGAGGCGTAAGCAGCTGCTACAGTAAGTAAGTGTGGCTGTTTACCGATTGCATCATTTGTATTCGTCACTGATTCATATATTATCTGATTTGTAATATGCCCAGCATGATTATCATCAGTTGACTGATAATATAAAGCAGCAGCAGGAGGATTCAATTGAGTTTGAGAATTTTCTGCTGAAGTGAAGGTGGCTGTATAGTTGCACACTCCAACAGTAGACGAATTGTTCCCGACATCATGATGAAGAGGATGAGGAGTAGAATTGATTTGTTTTTTCGCTGAAAGAATTGGTTCAGACGATGAGGAGGAGGAGGAAATTGTCGGACGACGAGCATTTCTCCGGCGCGGTTTTAAATCCAATAATTGAAATTGAACACATGATGTCTGCTTGTTAACGAATGGTTTAGGCTACAAAAACACAAAGCAGAGATTTTTAGCTTTACAGCATTTTAGAAAAAAAATGAATAAGCATTGAATACAGCCATTGGAGAGGTTTGAAATGAAAATCAAAGCAGTTGAATAAGTGTAATACTATCACAGTGCGTCGGTGGCATAGCGGTTAGGACGCTCGCCGACCATGCACATGGTCCGGGGCTCGATCCCCGGCCACCGACGCACTCATTTACCTCGCTAAGCCAGAAATAATGCTGGTGAAGAGGAAAGGTTGGGCATGTGGCTAGCAACCCCATCCTGTAAAATAAACACTGCTACAGAAACTTCAAGCCACTAGATTGTTAAGCCCTATGTTCCACTGGGGAACGTGAAGGAAAAAAAATACTATCACAGAGAAAGTAGTGATGTTTTCACAGATACAACGAAAAGACGCTGTACACAATAAAGAAAAAACGTTTCTCATCCTGTAAATGATTCAGTATATAGCAGGAATTGTAGGGGAAATTATTTAAAACGCACAAGTAAGCGAATGATACAATCTTCAGTTAGAATCTCATCGGATTTTGATATACATAACTTTACAAAAAAAACATTAAATACAAACAAATCGTGGTGATTTGTCAGCAGGTACGTATAATTATCATTATTACTATTATTATTATTGTTCCCTTGGGTTCCTAGTGGAACATAGGGCTTCAACTACACGTCTCCACTTGCTTCTGTCTTCTGCTGTACTTTTCACCTGCATCCATGTTAGTCCATACTGTTTCAACTCCTCTTCACATGACCTCCTCCATGTCACCCTTGGACGTCCCACTCGCCGCTTCCCTTTCGGGTTCCACTCGAGCACTGGCCTGATGCGCGATGTCACCCAGAGACACCTCCTCAGCGAGTGTCCAATCCATCTCCACTTTCTCCTGCAGATTTGTTGAGCGATTGGTTCTTGTTTTGCTTGTTCCCATAGTTTTTTGTTGGTGATTCTTTCCGGCCATCTGATCTTCAGTATAGAGCGAAGACAGTTGTTGATAAAGGTCTGCAACCTGTTAGAAATATTCTTTGTGACCCTCCAAGTTTCTGATCCGTACGTATAGAAGAAATGACTGACTTGACGTTTGTATTGAAAATCCGAATTTTGTTGTTGATGCAGGCTGAGTGACGAAGATTTCCAGATTGGTTTCAGGTTGATGAATGTGTTTCTCGCCTTCCCGATTCTCGATTTGACATCCTCGTCGGTTCCTCCTGTAGTTGAGACAATGCTCCCTCCCTAGATAAGTGAATGAAGTACCTCTTTCAAATTCCTCCCGTTGATTGTGATTGACGCTGGATGTTGCTGCTGCTGTTGTTGTTGTTGTTGGTTGGTTATTTTCATAACCTCCGTCTTGTCTATGTTCACCCAGAGTCCTGTCTTTGCTGCTTCTTCGACCAGTTTGTCGGTTTTCGCTTGTAAGTCTTCGATTTTAAGTGACATCAAACATAAATCATCCACGAAATCAAGGTCTTCTAGGTTCTTCCCGTCGGTCCAGGATATCCCTGTCTTCTCGTTTCCCACTGTCTGACGCATTATCCAGTCCACCACAATTAGGAATATCATTGGTGATAATAAGCACCCTTGTCTGACTCCTGTGTTTACTCCAAACGCCTCGCTGAGTTTTCCGTTGTGGATCACTTGACATGTGCCGTTGTCGTACAGCTGTTGAATAAGGCTGATGAATATTTGGGGTACGTCGTAGTACTTGAGTAGTTTCCAAATTACTTCGCGGTCAACGCAGCAGGTGCGTAAGACTGTGCAATTGGTGATAATAATAATAATAATAATAGAAATAGCCCTATTAGCGAAAAAGAAAAAACTGGAGCGACTTTCGGTAACAAGAATAATTAAAAAGGGCATGATTAAACAAACAAATGTTTAATTGAATTTCAGATTTTCCCGTCGATTAATTGAACCACTTTGGCGTTTGAAACGATGGGCACTGGGTTCGAGCCTCGGTGGGAACATCACTCAATGGGAAATGCAGGTACATCCAGATGACGAGTCCCCAATAGGACGAAATGCGCATCCTGGATTCCACTGCTAGTCACCATACACCAATTAAACTAATGTTTTGATGGACGTAATAGATAATGGCGAAGAAAGACAAATAGATTACGTAATTCCAGATTGTACGGGAAGTAAGTACTGAAGGTGCAATAAGATTAAGGGTTGACAAGAAAGAGAATAAAAATATATATGAGGGGTGGTGATGATATCATCGGTTGGTTAGGTTTTAACTGGCCAAGAAAAGAGATAATAGCTACACGAACTTTTTTGGAGTGCATAGTATATAGGCTTAGTAGCTCGAACGTCTATCGCGTCAGCTATGCTATGCAGCAGACAAATACGCAGTCCAATGGAAAGATTCAATGGGATGCATTGAATCACCATGAGTGCTTTTGTGTTTTTTTTCACTGAATGACTCCGATTAACTAAATGCAGGAAAACGGAGTTTCGGATGGATTTGTCTGTCCTTTAACGAACCACGCTGAGAGATAGTCAGTGACACGTTGGCTAATGCATCATCTAGTAGTAAGTCTAACGTAACTGTTTCCACAACAGAAGTTGAATTGATAAAACACATAGATGTGGCGAAAATATCCAGCTTACCCCTTGTTTGAGTCTCAATCATTCACCGACTAGGAAATAATAAACACAGGTTTGCTGTGTAAAGCAGCTAGTTTCTGGAACAGGTTTCAGGACACACAAGTCACATGCAGCAGAGAATGTTTTTCGAATTGCTGTCAACAAATGGCTTGTATCTTCCTTGAATTTCAGATTTTCAATTAGCACCTCCAGGTTTTACGAAGCATCAGTTCTTCTCTTTATATGTTTGTTGATGAAGCAGGTTGGATACCCATTATCGATCAAAGTGTTTCTGAAGGATTCAAATTCTTTCTTCAATGTATCTTTCGTGTACATGCGGTAGATACTCGTCGAAAGAGAAGTCCCCCATAAAACTGCAACTTAATAAATAATGGTTTCTTCTGTGCTGTCATTGTCTCTAGTTAACTACCTAATTTGTTCATATGTTTCTATATGAAACTACTCAGATAACCCATCTTCGTGAAAGAATCATGAATATATATTCAAATTCCCTCTCTAGATGACTTTCCGTACATGTCTTTTTTTGCTCTGCTTGTAAGACAACTAACATTCCCTTTAAAACGCACAATCTCTTAAGCGACCATCCATCTTCCCGCCTACTTAGTAAGACATCTAAAAAATTTATTTCTGTGTTGATTGTTTGGACCGAAATGTTTGACTGCTGTTGAAAACTTGATTCCTGATACAGATGCTTCGATGAGGCAATTTAGCATCCACCAATTTGCTTCAATAACCAACCAACCAACCACAACAACAACAACAACAACCAACGCCAATCACCATCAACGGAAGAGATTTAACAGAGTTTACTTCCTTCACTTATCATCGTTTCAACCACAGGCCAGAGAAACGGATGAATATGTCAAAGCCAACCAGGCAGAATCGGAAAGGCGAGATACGGCTTCATCAACCCGAAACGAGTTTGGCAATCTTCTGTTTCAATCAGCCAGCATAAAGAACAAGATTCGGATTTTCAACACATGTGAAGTTAGTCAGTTCTTTTATACGGGTCAGAAAATTGACCAGTGTGTCAGTCACGAAAAGGATTTCCAACAGGCCAGTGAAGACTTTTATCAACAGCTGCCACCTTCACTGGTTCCATATTGAAGACAAAATGGACAGCCGGCCAGAAAGAATTAGAAACAAGAAACTCTTGCTGGCAACAAACCAACCGAGAGCCGATTGCTAAACAAATATGTAGGAGAAAATGCATTGGGCATACATTGAGGAGGCCGTCGAATGACATCGCGCCCAATGCAGGCCATGGCTCGAGTGGAATCCCAATGGAAAGTGACGAGTGGGTCAACGGTGCGAGGGTGACGTGGAGGAGATCGTGTGTCAAGGAGGACATGACAGATTATGGACAATCGTTGACCCAGCTGAAGATGACGGCAGAAAATAGAACGAAGTGGAAATGTGTTGTTGAAACCGTATGTTCCACTCGGAACCCAAGGGAATAGTAATAATAATAACCAATTGCTCCGAGTTAATCCCCAGATATCGCCGAAGCATCCATACCAGGAACCGACTTGTCAACAACGGTTGAACATTTCGATCCAATCAATTAACACGAAAATGAAAATTCAATTAAAAACAAATAACAACGGATGCGCATCGCACAAGTATTGGCTCTCGTATCCCAATTAGTCAAGTAGATTAAACTTTGAAGATTGAAACGACGGGAAATAGGTTCAAGTCTCTGTGGGGACGTCATCACTCACTGGGGAGTGCAGTTAGGACGAAATGAGCATCTTCCAATTCACTGCTCGTCACCATCTATCAAATTATCTAAATCATTAATGAGATTTTTAAATCATGTATTTTCAAGTTTTGCAAAGGAAAAAGTCTGCTAAAATCAGGTCTAATTGTGAATCGAAAGCGATTCCATGTAACTGTCAGTAATTTGAATTGTTGAAGATAAAGTGTAGACTCATTATTCTTTTTACCACCAATCACTCGATTTTCCTCACCTTTGTTATTAATACACTTTATTATTATTATTATTATTATTATTATTATTATTATTATTATTATTATTATTATTATTATTATGTATAATTGCACAATTTAAATAAATGTGGATTAAATAACACGTAAGAAGGTACTCACTAAGATTGTACGGTATCGTGATTCCACAGAACCTTCTTTAAGATTAGCTTGTTCATTACGAGCAGACTTTTTGCCTAAATGTGAAAAAAAGGAAATATTCTGGTTTGTACATTCGCAAAATTAAAGTTTATGAAAGATAGTAATAAAGGTTAACATACACATACACACATACACACAAATTATTATGTCAGTGTCAGTAATGCATTATCAAGTGAATCTATCTGAATAAAAGACTGTTAAGCTTAAAAAATTCATGCTTGCTTAGTGATTACAAGAACATATCTATTTATTAATAAATACATTTCTGACAGATAGCTGGTATCCTTAGAAGACACATCACAATATGAATTGGATAACAGTCAGTCAGTTAATGATTGAAAGGCACATGGCGCTGAAAATTCGTTTTCTTTTATTTTGAGCATTACCCAGAAACAGTATGCATACAGTGACAAACAATAAGAAATTAATTCACAACTTTTCACAGAACTTCAAGTGAACATAGAGAAGACTAGAGGTGATGAATGATGATACTCAGTATCAACGGGAGAAATCTAAAGGAAGTCTCCTTATTTTGGAATCAATCAGTGTGGAAGTTGGCTATACTGAGCATAAGGAGCAAGATTCGGATTTTCAACACTTCTGTCATGTTAGTCAGCGCTTCTCATATGGCTTGGAGACTTGGCGCGCGCGTCATGAAAAGCATCTGCGACAAATTACAAAACTTTCATCAACAACTGACATCACTAGCTTCATACTAAAGATCAGATGGCTGGCCAGAAAAGATTAGAAGGTAACCAATTAACTCATCAACCTATCGCCTAACAAATATGACGATGCGGAGGCCATTGAGTGACACATCAGGAGATACGCCTTTTGGTGGAACCGAAATGGGAAACGATGAGTTGAGCGTGGGTCTTGAAGGAGAAGAAAGCTTGTGAGCAGTAATGGAGCCAGCTGAAAAGGATTGCAGAAGACGGGAGGAAATGGAGATGCACTGTTGAAGCTGTATGTTCTATTTGAAACCCAAGAGGATAATAATACGCTTTGTTTTACTAGAACCGAATATCATTCCAATACTGAGAAAGACAACACATAAAACTAGATGAGAACGTAGAGGTTTATTGCTCTCATATAAAAGGTAATATTGTTAGAAATTATACCTAATTATATAGAGACAAAAAACCAACTATATTTCGATTATTTAGGATGCGGCAATAGAAACACGACGAGGAGACTTTCAAACTAAGTGAGGATTGAATGTCTCAGTTTACAGGTCACATGGGAAAGACTGTTATAATATATCTCCTTCTGTCTCAACAGTATTTCTGAGAAATTTCCAGTTAGGAACACTTAACACTACTTGAAAATGAAAATGTTACTCAAAAACCACTTGCAGTTTACTGCAGTTGGGAGTGAGCCACACCTGTTGCGACATGTGCTACTGATAGGATTTATAAGTAGTATATAAATGCAGACATAAATATGTATCGAACAAAGGTAAGATGCATTCAACGGTGAAGAGATGAAATGAACAATGCTCATGAAACAGCATGGAAAGCATGATGAAAGGAAGACAAAGAAGGACAGGGCTGAAGACAAAAGCAGCACAATACTGAAGATATATGCGAATTGTAATTTCTATATGATAGATATATTTTGCCTTAAATCTCAACATCGATTTGCTAATAAATAAAAAAATACATTCTTAGCCATATTAAAGTACGACTGGGTTAGAGGAAAATGAACTGTGTTCTGATTAGCTGGCAATTAGCTCAAGGTTAAACAAGCTGTCCAATGAGGTTATTTCATGCCCACAACGTAAAGTGAATCCACATTGGAGGAATAAACACTTATTCCTTCCTTTAAAGCCATTGACTTAAAATATTGATTTCAGTCTTTGGCTGCATCCTGTCAATATGTATCTGTATAGCACACGCCACATATATATTTCACATCAAACCAATCACCATCGGCATTCAACGGTTCTCTAACCGACGTTGTTAGATAACAAAATCTAATGGAAATCAACCTATCGGCCTGCAAACCCAACGCTTCAATATACATTCACACTAATAATTAATGTCTGCTAAATTTATAAAGTATAAAAAGATAATAAATACAAAAAGTTGTTTTTCCGCCCTTACTTTGTTTGTGAACTCTAGCATGGATCTGTAATAGAGCAAAATAAAAAGGAATAATCATTTAAGTTGTCTTCAAAAGACAAGCTATACAAATAAATCAAAATTATTGTAAATCTCTAAAACGGTATGACGTCACAACACACAATAGGAAAATGTGTCACAATAGTAAGAAAACAAACTAATAATCCTCTACTACACCTGAAAGGTATTTCTTTGGTCTGGCGATCTAAGCAGAAACATCCTCCAATAGATAATAAATGTTAACTAACAAGCTTGTATTTCGTGCAAGCCAAATCGACTATTTCATTCGTTTAAGGACAAGCTTATCGGCAGTGTACACAGTTTGACTCAGCGCTCAGAGAGTAGAATAATCAGTTCAAGCCATCCAAATTCTGGTTAGCTATTCCGGCGAACTGGTAATACATTAAGTCATATTCTCAATTGGCAAATTCATTCGCTATTTGCAATTTACTGGTTATTGTGAGTGGTGGTCGACTACTCATGTCAAGCGGTCAGTAGTATACAGCATCAGACATCTATACTCGCTTTCTTGATTCCCATTATTCATGGTAAATTGTCCTTTTTCTACCTACCAATGTTCATCCCCTTTGGATCAATATTTGAATCTTTGAATGGTAATGGTAATTCACCTGTTAAAACCTGAACTCTGCATACAAAAGAAGTTTGTTCAGTCATTAAATCTGCAGTGGACCAGACCTATCTTACCACCAAATACGTAATTTTTGTTTTGTCCGTTTTTTTTGCTTGTTTGTTTCTTAATTGCATAATATTTTCTTTCCCTACCCGGTTTTATATCTCTACCCCTTATATTACCACTGTTGTTAAGTTGATTTTTGTTCAATTTTAATTTTAGTTGAGCTCTACTCAACCTCATCAATTAGATTACATCACTCAACTTGCTTATTTAATCTTATTTTATTTTCTACCTGATTAACACTTTCTACATTACGTAATTTTTCTATACTGAAGATCAGATGGTCGGAAAGAACAAGAACCAACAAGAAACTATGGGAACAAACAAAACAAGAACCAATCGCCCAACAAATATGCAGGAGAAAGTGGAGATGGATTGGAAACTCACTGAGGAGGCCGCTGGGTGACATCGTGCGTCAGGCCAGTGCTCGAGTGGAACCCGAAAGGGAAGCGGCGAGTGGGACGTCCAAGGGTGACATGGAGGAGATCGTGTGAAGAGGAGTTGAAACAGTATGGACTAACATGGATGCAGTTGAAAAGTACAGCAGAAGGCAGAAGCAAGTGGAGACCTGTAGTTGAAGCCCTATGTTCCACTAGGAACCCAAGGGAACAATAATAATAATGATAGTAATTACGTAATTTTGGTATCTAAAACTTATAATTCTAACGACAAATCCTTGGAAATATTCATTTTGTTGCTAAGACAATTTACTAAATATATGCAGTTGTACAGCTTGAGAATAATATCGCCGAAAACAGTAACTCTTTGCTGAACTTCTTTTCTCTTATATGTTATAATTGTTGAATAGTACCGCAGATTTTAACGCAAATAACTGTCTTTTTGCTGTCGTTTAAGCATTTTGTGACTGTGAGCAACTCAAGGAAGTTCTGATTACCTGTTATACAGTAGAACGCAAAGATTGGTTTCCAGCGTTTAAACCGCAACACATCGGTTTTGATAGCCACAATAATAATAACAGTATGAGGATGTCATCATGAACTGACGTCAGTTAGAGGACCATTGGAAAACCAAGCAGGGAGTACTGGACAGCTGTTTCATCCTAGTTTGGGACTCTTCGTCAGTATGCACTCACTGAGGTTCGAACCCAGGAAGAAACAGCTGTCCAGTACTGCCTGGTTGATTTTCCAATGATCCCCCCCCCCAAAAGACGATGTCAGTTCATGATGAAATTCTGAAACCAATCAAATCCCTGCAAACCAACACGTGAATAACAGTATGACTTGAAAATCCCTATATTTATATACTAGACCAAGAACTACAACTGTTATTAGCTTCATTATGAATCCACTATTCGATGTCTGTCTGTCTGATTTCAACAGAACTTTGCACTAATGTGCAGCAGTTCGAGTCGCCACACTTCCCTCAGCAGACAAAGCAGGAGAGGAACGTAATCAGAAATGCAAAAACAGAGACAGTAAACAGGGATATGAGACAAAAGGAATAGTAATAACTAAGAACAATATAGTTTCATTGGGTATTATAACTCACAAGGAGTGGATGCATCTGAGCCATCCATTGACAGCGAGGATTTTAAGCCATATCACCGACTGCCTCCAGTCTTGGCTGGTGTTTACCGTCCAGAGGACCCCAACCAGGGAGTCTACATCTTCCTACGTGACTGAATTAAACTAACTGTTGTGGATTTCATTGACTGATGAAGCCATGTTTTTGTTTGACCATCACTAGCTTTCTCTTTTCCAACCTGATCCGTCCTAAGTGAGCTAACATTGTGCATCGGGGAAGACGATGGCTAGGCTAAACATGCGTAACACATGTCCTAACCATTTCAGTCGGTGTAACTTCACAACCTCATCAATTGATATTTCCTTCTTACCAAGCACTTGACGCCTAACCTCAATATTGTTCACCCTATTACACGTACCATATAACAAGGGAGATAGAAAGCAGGCAACTATGATCAAAAACAGCTAGCCTTTTCATGTCCTCCACTCTAAATGGCCAGGTCTCACAGGCATAAAGGAGGACGGAGCGGACTGATGATCAGTACACACGCCCTTTGGTCGATAGACAGCCGGATATCACGTCTACTATTCGATGTATGCAAACTGAGTGATACAATGAATAATAACACTAAAGGCCTAACTTCAAGTCAAGCTGACATGACAAAACACTCACTAAAGACCAAACATAATCCCGTTTTCAACGATATAAATCTAGTTAACAAATAATAAAAATTAACATTAAAATTTATGATTAAATTACCCTGCATGCTTGGTTGGTGGCGAAACCACGATCACACTGAGGGCAAACAAATTCAAAAGACACAGTAGTCGATGGATATTCACAAGATGTCTGACTGTCCAAATCAACTATAAAGGAAATATTTAATTAAAATATATAATAACAAAAAGAAACGATATATATATACATATATATATATATGGGTGTGTGAAAAAAAAACAAGGTCAGTATTTCGCGATAATTCATATCAGCAGCAGTAAATTGATACAGTACGCAAACTTCACAGTGTAGCGTGTGTGCTACTGAAAAGATTTATCAGTAGTATATGAAGGGATGTTCATTGGCACACAAAAATATCAAATAGTGTAGAGAAGGATTTAAGGTCAAAGGGAAAAAATGAACCAGTGTTGTAGCGAAACATGGGAGACACGAAAGGAAGACAAAGAAACACCATACAAAGGGCAGAAGTAGCACAACACGGAAGACCTGTGTGCAAGTGACGATTTTCATATACGGTGTACATAATTTCCCCATATAATAGAGATATCAAATTCCAAATAAACATTCCGATATCAAGTCTTTTATCTTTTACCGCTACAACAGTACTTAACATTAGAACTGGTTTAATAGTATGCTAGTTACTTCATTCACTTATCTAGGGAGCATAGTCTCAACCACAGGAGGAACGGACGAGGATGTCAAATCGAGAATCAGGAAGGCGAGAAACACATTCATCAACCTGAAACCAATCTGGAAATCTTCGTCACTCTGCATCAACAACAAAATTCCGATTTTCAATACAAACGTCAAGTCATTCAGTCCTTCTATACGGATCAGAAACTTGGCGGGTCACAAAGAATATTTCCAACAGCCTGTTGCAGACTTTTATCAACAACTGTCTTCGCTGGCTCTATACTGAAGATCAGATGGCCGGAAAGAATCACAAACAAGAAACTAAGGGAAGAAACAAAACAAGAACCAATCGCCCAACAAATCTGCAGGAGAAAGTGGAGATGGATTGGACACTCGCTGAGGAGGTGTCTCTGGGTGACATCGCGCATCAGGCCAGTGCTCGAGTGGAACCCGAAAGGGAAGCGACGAGTGGGACGTCCAAGAGTGACATAGAGGAGATCGTGTGAAGAGGAATTGAAACAGTATGGACTAACATGGATGCAGGTGAAAAGTACGGCAGAAGACAAGCAAGTGGAGACGTGCAGTTGAAACCCTATGTTCCACTAGGAACTCAAGAGAACAATAATAATAATAGTTACAGTAGCATGTAATTAGTCCCACTTGTAACACTGAATAAACAGGAAGAGTTCTGAATCACAACAATTTGACATAACAAAACAAAGTTTCCTTTAACATGTATTATGACATGAATATCAGTTAAATGTAGCAAAACCTTGATCTCCATTCATCTGAGATAAAGGGCAACAGAATAACATAAAAAACTGGAAAAATCCGAATATGTTCATCCCCTTTAAATAATGAGTCACAGATTCGAAACCTGTGCTTTTTAATAAAAGATTTAAGCCAGGATTGACTGACATGGAGACTGGAACAATCAGAATTAGTCAGGTATTGGTATGAAGGGATTTGTTTGATTTCAATTCTGATCGCAAATTCACTTCAGTTAGAGAACCACTGAAAATCAGGGAGTACTACTGGACAGCTGCTTCGTCCTTGTTTGGGACTCTTCAGCCCAACGCACCCATGCGCTCAATCAGGAATAGAACTCAGGATCTTCAGGTTACTAGTGCTTACTAGTGACTCACAACACGATGAAGTTGCCTGATATTTTAGTAGTAGGAAGTCATGACCACCAAGTTCGGCATTGGGACAGATACTCGCCGATGACATTGGCTCGTGGTTACGCTGTACCGTAATTTCGTAGAGGTGAGAAGGGATAGTTCATTAGATTCCGTTCCAGTAGCTGAATGGTATACGAGTTCCCTTGTAATCTGAAGGTCCTGGGTTCAGCTCCCAGTGGGTTCCAAGGTATGACAAAACAGACGTCCGGGACAATCGACTTCTACTCCGGTTTGTAATGATAACTAAACCCCAAAGTAATCACAAATCGACATTAAACTAACACCAACATCAGAAGTGTTACTCAAACTCTTTGAATATTTGTGACCACAATTTTTCAACAACAAAAACAACGTCCCTAGTGTTTATCGACGAAATAGGCGTCTATAAGACTCTAATGCATATTAATCTTCCTAATATCGCCCAACAAATATGCAGGAGAAAGTGGAGATGGATTGGACACTCATTGAGGAGGCCGCTGAATGACATCGCGCATCAGGCCAGTGCTCGAGTGGAACCCAAAAGGGAAGCGGCGAGTGGGATGTCCAAGGGTGACATAGAGGAGATCGTGTGAAGAGGAGTTGAAACAGTATGGATTAACATGGATGCAGGTGAAAAGTATAGCAGAAGACAGAAGCAAGTGGAGACGTGCAGTTGAAGCCCTATATTCCACTAGGAACCCAAGGGAATAATAATAATATTTACTATTAAATACTGTTTACGCTACCGGCAGCAATGAGTTTTGTCGAGGATATTCTTGATGACTTACTTAAGTAAAATAAGGGAATAAAATGAATGAATCAATCAATGAAATTATGAATGAATGCTAAAACATTACAGCAATACATACACATTAGTATTGCAACATAATTCCCGACAAACTCTAGAATTTTACCGTCTAATAGGTCTGTAAGTCACCAGTATAAATAATACCTGACCAGTGGTGAAAGAGAATAGTGAACTCTTTCAACAATTTGTTCACCAAGTTATTACATAAGTGACTTAAACAAAAAAATTGGATCGGATCCCAGTGGCTTAATGGTCTACGAGCTAGCTCGCCTTGAAACCAAAGGTACTGGGTTCGAACCCCGTTGGTGGATGCGTACTGCTGAAGAGTCCCAAACTACGCTGAAGAAACAGCTATCCAGTACTCCCTGCCTGGTTTTCCAATGGTTCTCTAACTGATGTCAGCTCATGATGAAATCCTCCAACCAATCAGAAAAATTGACTGTGTAGAAACACAAAAAAGTGTGTTAAACAAAGATGTAGTATTGATTTCATACAACCAGTTCCCTTGATTAGTTTGAATAAAGAAAGAATGAACGAACATATTTGCAGTAGGATAATAATACGAGCTTGTTTTTAAACTTCACGGATTTTTGTTAACTGTATTCAACCTATAGCATGCGAAAAAGGTAAGTTACAAAAGGGTCTGAGAATATTTTTTAACACAGTGATTTCCAACCATCATCTAATACCGACAATGAACAGTGCAGTGTGATGACGAGCCGCCTAACTTGGCGGTGGCCACATGGCAAACTTGACTGATAGAATTAAGTCTACACCAAACAGAGGACTAGACACACACATACACACTAGTTACTGACTACTGTCCAATCAAAAGTATCCAATAAGTCCTACAGAAAGTCATTCGCGAGCCCGAATAGCTCAGTGATAACGTCTCTGATTGACTGCAGCACTGGGTGAAGTGGGTTTGAATCTCAGAAGGGACATGAGTTCCTTCACGTTTGCAGATACGCCTTACTGACTAGTGAGTGCCAACTAGCACGAAACCTGGGTCTAAGGCTTCCTGTCGATTGCCTTCAACCATCTAATACTAACAACAATACCATGATGTAAGTAGACAAATTATTCAGTGTTAAAAAGGCGCTAACTATTTGTAGAATAATTAGATAAGAGGAGTGACAGAGTTCAGATTTTACTTAGAGACAGAAATAGACTAGAGACAGAATACAAGATCGAACATCAGAATGAATTTATACACATAATATAATGAAAAGTTCAAGTTCAATGGGTGGAAATGAAAAGTAAAATTATGAAGTAGACAAACAATTAAGTAAATTTGTTAACCTAATAGTGAGTTCAACTCACTAATTGAGAATCAAAATTAAATGGAGTGTTACGCAACAAGAAGAAATAAAAACACGAACAAAACAATTATAGTTAATAAGGTAGTAAGTGATTTATATTTTGATATTGTTTAGGTTGCATGTAGTTGACAAAAAACCACGAAAAATAAAACAAGCTCGTATTATCGTGCAAATAAGTACTGATTTCATTTACTATAATTCTCGAAATAGAAAATTGACAAACAGAACAGAAATACTGGAAAAAAGAACCGACAGAAATGGAGAGAGAGAGACAGAGAGGAGATATATGCGATACAATATACAAATAAATCCTTGAACTTCAAACCAACACTTGAACATCAATGAGATGCTCACTAGCGACTTGCCCTATTCAGGTAGGTAGTCACCTGGGGTTCTAGTGAGAAGTCGTGACCAGTAGGGTATGAGGACAAAAACTCACTGAAGACATTGGCTAGGGGTCGCGCTATGTCGTGAATTGGCAGAAGTTAGAATTCATGGACCATTGGATCGGGTCCCAGTGGCTTAATGGTATACGAGCTCGCCTTGTAACCAGAAGGTCATGGGTTCGAATCCCGGTGGGTGTGTACTGCTGAAGAGCCCCAAACTAGGACGAAATAGCTGTCCAGTACTCCCAGGTTTTCCAATGGTTCTCTAACTAATAACAGCTCATGATGAAAAACCCTGTAACCAATCAAATCCCTACAAACCAACACTTGAATATCAATGAGATGCTCACTAGTGACTCGCCCTATTCAGGTAGGTAGTTGCCTGGGGTTCTAGTGAGAAGTCGTGACCAGTAGGGTGCAGCAGGTCGGGCGTGAGGACAAATACTCACCGAAGACATTGGCTAGGGGTCGCGCTATGTCGTGAATTGGCAGAAGTTAGAACCAACGCAATTCTTACAATTTAAAATCAATTGATATCTGGATGGCTTTTCAATACATGGTCGGTCGGTCGGTCGGTTTTCGACATGTGCGGCAGTTCAAGTCGCCATATTCCATGTAGCACACAAAGCAAGAGAAGAAAGTAGGAGAAATGCATAATATAGACAGTAAACAGAGGTGTGAGACAAAGGAATAGTAATAACGAAGAACAAAACAGTTTAACTGGAAATCATTAGTCACAAGGAGTGGGTGCATCTGCGCCACTGAGAACGATTTTGAGCCATGTCACCAATTGTTTCCAACCATTGGTTTTTACCGTCCCGAGGACCCCAACCAGGAAGTCTACACCTTCCTACGTGGCTTAGACTAACTGTTGTAGATTTCATTGACTGGTGCCATGTTTTCGTTTGACCGCCGCTAGCTCTTTTCCAGCCTGGCCCTATATCAGCTAACATTGCCCGTCGAGGAAGGCGATGACTAGGCATACGTAGCACATGTCCTAACCATCTCAGTCAATGTAATTTCAAACTCTCGTCGACTGATTTTAAAAATTAAAAACAACTTGATTTCCCAAAAGAAATGGATTCGAACTATGTGTGATTCGCCTGTCAACATTTTGACAGCTAACTAATCTGATTAGCTGACAGTTTAGTGGTATGTCCATACGCGTCAGTGGCAAAGCGGTAGAGTGCTCGCCGACGCCACCGGTCACTGACGCACTCATTTACCTCGCTAAGCCAGTAATAAGACTGGTAAAGAGGTAAGGTTGGACATGGGGCTAGCAGCCCCATCCCGTAACAAATAAGACTGCTACTGAAACTTCAGGCCTTTAGCTTGAAGCCCTATGTTCCACTGGGAACGTGAAGGAATAAAAAATATATATTAAATGTCGTTTAAGCAAAATGATAAATAATAATAGTAACAAGAAGAAGAAGGATGGGCAACAACGAAAGGCTTTCAATACAATCCATAGACAAAATACGACAAATACAACACATTCGTACATTCAATGGTCAAAATGCCATTAATGGCTTACCGTTAAAATCGCGTATATATACTCAAAAGAGAGGATAATAAATTTTCAAGAATTACCTGAATACCCATCTGATAGATTATTTGGAGTATGTGATCGAAGGATATGACGTTCAAATGCTTTGCAGCTACTGAAACAGCGATCACAATCAGGACATTTTTGCTTCTCAGATAATTGATTTGACTTGAAAAAACAAAGAAATATAAAGGTGTTAGATTTAAAAACCAATAAAGTGAGTTAAAGTTTAATGCGCCAAGCAGTGCATAGAATGAAATAGTAAAAAGAGAGAGAAGTCATGACCAGTAGGGTCTGCCAAGCCGAGTGTGGGGCCAAATACTCACCGATGACATCAGGTTGTAGGTGGTGCTTAAGTCGCAGATTGATAGAAGATAGAATTCACGGGTCGTCCAATTCCCGTCCAAGTAATTGAATGGTCGTTAACGTACTTCACCTCGTAGCCTGAAGGTCCCGGATCCAATGCCTGCTGGTGTCGGGGGTGAGTGTGACTGAGGGTTCACAAACTAGGACGAAACAGATGTCCAGCACTCCCCACTTTTCAATGGTTCTCTAAATGATATCAATCTGTGACCATAGTTGGTACGAATCCCTGTAAACTAAATCTTGAAAATGAGGACAGCTAGTTAATACAGTACATGGAAAAACACTTTGTATGCACACATTCATCAATATCTGAAGTAAACAGACGGCATCTTTAGTCATAAGCTATAACAGAACAAACGACTGTAAAGAAAAGTATATATGTGACACTTTTGTGCTGCATAGTCTATCTAAATCATGAGATTACTTTGGATGAGATACAGTTGTCGATAAACAGATGGCAGCCCCTTCTTGCCTACAGCAAAACACATTTTTCATATGGATCACAAGATTGACATCAAAACACACCCCAATATTATAAAACCCGACAGTGGTGAATAATAAAATACACTGAAACTGTAGTCCTCCCTAAAATTAGGCAACCTTGTATATGTGTGTATATATATATATATAAAAACAATTCATGATTGTTGCCCTTAAAACTACCCTGGTAACTTTTATCTAATCATATTACTTAAAAGTAGCGTCAGTGATTATCCTCCTTAATTTTGTACGCCTTATTATTTCGTTTAATCTACTTGACCTTTCATTCTTTACACAAATTGAACTGACAAGTAAATGTGTAATCAAGATTGTTCCAAATGTATTGTGCAAATGCATCATATTGTTTGTTTGTTTTCTTCAGGTGAACATCTTTTAATAACGCTATTGAAATTTATTAAAGGAACTACCTGCTTTATATAAACATTTGTTAAAATATACAGTATAAGCGGATTAATAAAGATTTGATATTTATCATAAAATGGGAGCTTCAATTCACATTAAAGCCAACGGTTCTACACTAATAAATACCTCTTTTTAACTAATGATTAGTTAACGGGAATCAAGATAGCAAGGAAAGGATACGACACTGTACTATCGAAGTTGATAAACCGTTTATAAAACAATAACAAATACAGAAAAAATCCCCATTTAGACATTTAGGAAACAGAAAGATTGAGCGAAGAAATATTTACTTTTCATCGTATTTCCGAACATCATCCAACATGATTAAGCAAGGGACAAACAAGATCTATTCGTACCTCTACTTTAGCACACCTCGTAGATAATGAGCATAAAATTGGTGTTAACATAGTATTTAAAATTATTTATCGCATTCCTACTAATCTTAATTTTGCTCTACGAGTTTGTCTTCTACAGACAGCTGAAGCCATAGGAATCCACCTGAAGAAGCCAAAACTGTGTGTTCAGAAGAAATTTGTACAGCCACTTTCCTTACCTTGGCCATCGTTATATGAATGTATAAACCGCACTACTTCGCCCCCCTCCCCCTAAACATTTAAAAATTATAATTGTTCAAATCATTTTATTTTTCCGACCACTTCATCTTTAATTACGTGTTATCCTTGTAAAATTAATTTATTCTATCTATTTCTACCTTTTAATTGTGTGTATTGATTTTCTTCGTTAATTATCAACCCATTGACATTTTGACACAGACTAATTATTGTTAACAAACGTATCGCCACTTGATTGGTAAACTGTTGTGTATTGTGATAAAAATGCCACATATATTAGAGTAGAGCCAGAGAAAGTAAATATTTCTTCGCTCAATCTTTCTGTTTTCTAAATAACAAATACGTACGATAAATGAATGAATTTGTCAATGTGTTACTTGTTAATAATTACATGACAATAACTAACTACATCGGTAGTGCAGCGGTAGAACAGTTGCAAACCCCCCACGTGGTTCAGGGTTTGATCCCCGACCGACAAACGCACTTCTAAACCTCACTTAGCCAGTAGTAAGCCCATTAAAAGAGGGAAGGCTGTGTGTGAGGCTGACAACTTCATCCCATAAAAATAAAACCACTGCCAGTGAAGCTTCAAAGCTCAAGCTAGAAATCGTATGTTCCCCTCGGAACGCAAAGGAACAAAAAAATAAATAAACTACGGATGAAACTTAGTCAGATAGCTATAACTAATACTAACACGAATAATAACAGGTGGGAGAAGATGTTCTACCACAGCCGATACGTGGCTAAATACTTTATGCAGATATAACAGAAGTAAAGAAATTGCCTGTATGAATTTCTTTTGAGCACACTAAATAACACATAGTAAATAACTTGTAAAGCTCTGTTGAAACAGACCTAGTATCGTATGTCAACACAATGTGAAAGAGAATACAGCTTCTCATATACCTTACTAAACCTTTGAGTAATTTGGTGGATGGTGACTAGCAGTAGAATCCAGAGGCCAAGCACTTCGATCCAACCAATCAACAGGAAAATCCAAATTGAATTAAATAATAAATGATACTTAGTTGCACAGGAGGTGACTCTCGTGGCCTAAATGGTCTAGTGGATAACGCTTTAGCGTTTGAAACGATTGGTACTGGTACTGAGTTCGAGCCTCAGTGAAAACAGCATCACTTAGTGGGGAATGCATGTACATCCGGCTGACGAGTCCCAAATGGGGTGAGACGTGCATCCTGGATTCCACTGCTAGTCACCATCCACCAAATTACTTTAAGCCGATCCTCAGACATCGTCGAAGCATCTGCACAAGGAGCCAACATGTCAACAGAGGCCAAACATTAGAAAAAAAAAGTCAAACGAAATAATACAATGGAATATTCACATAGAGCAGTGAAAGACTTACATTGTTAAGTGAATTTGACACTGATAACGTGTCGTATGCAATAGATACAGTAGTATCTCCACTCTGATCTGATATCACTGCGATTATCTCTGAAGTCTGAATATCTGAAGCAGGGGATGTTGTTACAGGTGGTGGTGGTGAACTGTTTAACGTAATCGTTATCTTTTTACGCTCCGCATTTGATTCTCTTAAAACAGGCGAGACTGGTGAATGTGGAGGACTCAGTGAATCAATTGAATTGGCATCATTCATTGTAGGAGAAGTATCAGGTATATTTGTTGGTGAATGCAGTGTGTCGGATGTTTCACAGTATAAAGCGCCTAACATATCTAACTTTTGATATTCCTTAGTACCATTAGTAGTAGTTGTAGTTGTTGTTGTAGAGACTACAGAATTCTCATCAGTAGTTAGCATTGTTTTCAAATCATTTAAATCATCACATGAGCATAGGTTTGAATGCATTTTACCCTGAATCTGGTGTGTTTCTACAAGATGACTTTTAACTAAGGATTCGTTGTCTGTACGGAAACCAGGACAGATTCGGCAAAGATATTTGACGGAGGGAGTGTTGGATTGTTCCGTGGTTAAATTTTTTTCACCTTTGAATAAAATAAAGAAAAGAATATAGGTAAGGCTAGATTAAACGCGTAACCAGACTGGGAACATCCATAATCTTAAACATAAAGTGGACGCGGGTTAATCTGTTAGCCATTTAACATTTTGTATAAGATACACATGTGTAAACATCTCGTGCACAAACCGCTTCTAATTAGCTTGTCTTAATTTTTTCCTCCTTTGTTAATGATTCTAAAAATAGTAGGACAGATCGGTTAGATTCATTCCAGAGTCAAATTTCATATTGTCTTTTCTATTTATCACTTTTTTCATTCTACGCCTGCCGATAGCTGCAAGCATGAAGTGGTCGTTGGGCCTGCATATCGCGATGTCTCTACAACCTATGCTGCCTGGAAGCAATGTTTCTTCTAGTTCTACAATACCAGAAAGGTCGGTGGACTATGATTGGACGAAAGACATGTACACTTCCAAAGAGCAAGAAGAAACATTGAGAGTGAATGACATGAATCCAGCTTCTTTCGTCAGTTTTCTTTGGCTGAGTAGGGGAAAAGAAATACTTATTACACCATGTTAAGATAGCCCACGTTTACTCAGTCACTACGATTATTCGCCCCTCACGTTTTGAGTTGAAGATAGGATTTCAGCAGTACATTTTTAGTGTACACCGAATGTCTGGACTGTATAGAAGCTCTAGCTGGCTATTTGTGTTGAAAATGCATTCGAATCTTGTTGTTTTGTGGTGTTAGTGCTGTAGATCTTCACACTGATTTCAAAGTAATGGACATTTATTTCACTTTCCCGATCCTAAGTGGCTTTTAGGTCCTCATCCGTGTTGTATGTATCTTAAATGAATCAATGTGAGTAATACTAGCTTATTCTACCCCGATACTTTTTACTGCATCTCCAATTAAATAAAAACGAATATATGCATTAAATAATGTAGGCTGCCTAAATATGTGGAGGGTCTGAGGGCAACTAAGTACTACTGGTGGATAAAAGTGGAGTAGTAGAAAAGTATTTCATTCAAACAACTACGGAGACAATTATGATCTCTTCCCACAAGTAAATTACACAAACTGCACATCCTGACTAACCATACGATGATCCGTATTCTTGGAGTCTGGACAGTGGCAGTTGCTCACTCGAACTAATTTATGGCTATGAGACATTTAAAAATGAAGGCAGAAATTATAAAAAAGACCAACAGTTACTCATTATTGTTGTTTTGTCTCAATTATTTTTATTGGGCAGCGCAACATCATACACAATAATAGTATCAGCATAGTGTGTTACGTAGTAGAGAAGGTACATCTGAGAGAGTGAGGCTTCAATGACTGGGGTGGCCACGACATCTGTTACGCATGCAAAATCATTGTCTCCATTGATTAGGCTGATAAAGTGTTAGGTGAAGTCATTTCAAAACACGTCACCAGTCCAAGAAGTCACTGGCTGTTGATGTGAGCCACGTAAAGTGTGAGGTCCTCGATAAGATAAAAATTAGTGGTTTGAGACTCATGGTGCGATAACTCAATGACTTTGTAAAATCACTGAAAAGTCAAAATCAAAAATTGAAATAATAATATCCAGATTTGCAATTAGTTGTGCTCTCTGAGCTGGTTGGTTTAATTGCGGAGCTTTCATCATCCTTCTGAACAACATCTTCAGCGCAAGTTTTAACACCAACCAGCTCAGAAAACACAACTAATTGCAAATCATCCACCTGGGCTCTATTATTTCAATAATATCCAGATGTCAGGGCTTCAGGGAAGATGAGTACATAGCGCTACCATATGTGTACACACAAACACATGCAGAGTAATATACATACATGTACTGTAGCATTTTTAGAAAATAAAGAAAACATCTCACTAACAGCTAAAAGAACCAACCTACATTTTATTTTAATTATATGCTTTTTCCACAAGTCGTCCAACATAGTCCATATAGGAACATCTGAACATCGGTGAAAAACCTAAAATATGATGAAAATCCACTAAGAATAAAGTCGATTTGCGATACGAGAGCATCCGACATCTTTGTAGTATATAAATAACAAACAAAAAAATGGCAAATAAACACATGGATATCTAAAAGAAGCTTGTTTTTAAGACGTGTCTTTACTATAAACTTTTGGTGAAACAAAATGATCCGCAGTGTTTAGCATTAAAACGCATTGTGAACTTGCACTAATTATGACCTGAAAATATATGATAAATCCTACAATAACACCCTACTTACTCTACATATGATACCAGCTTCAGATGAAATTAGAGAATTAAGGATAATGAAAGAAAGATTCAAGACTATCCCATAGGTTAGTCAAATACATCTCTAGGTGTGGCTAACATAAATGAAAATTTTAAAATGTTAGGAATCAGTGGTTTAGTCTCATTTACAGAGTAGTTTGTAATTTAAAAATACCATATCAATATTTATTTATTTTGCTTTATCCTAACAAACTTCTTTATTGCCTGTATCCTTCTCTTGCAAATGTCAACGTTACTTTCTGTTTGTAAAGTTAAATACTCTACTTCACACGGAAAAAATCAATACAGCCACTACTTAGTCACACCTTCGGTATTTTTTAAATAATTTTCGACGCAATTTTGACTGAGTGGGTACTGAAACATAAATATTTTTAAAGACCATGATAAAAGATAACTACGGTTTTGAAGAAATAAATACAAAGGTGAATAATAACTGAAAAAACTACTTTTTGAGATAAAATCTAACAACAATTAAATCGAACTCTAATGATTCGATCGTTCCACTACTAGTTGATCGTAGCTAAGATGAAATCTACAGTGTTGCTACTTTTCAGAATGGACAGTTGTGTAAGTTACAGGTATTAAAAAGAGAAATTCAGTGCAGCCGTTTAAAAACAAAAGGATAAGCAAGAAACACTTAGAAAAGTAACAACATAGCTCAGTAAAAATGATAAAACAACAAAAAGTGAGTTTTGTGTGGAAGGATACTGACCACAGTCTGTTTCGAGTGAAAATTTAATGAAAGCCCTAACAGGTGAGTTCATCATGTCAGGATGACGCGGATGCTTACCGATGGTAGTGGTTCGCAGTAGCGCTGTCACGACTCGGTACAAGTTAGGTTTCACGGGCCATTGAATCCCGACCGACTGACTGGATAGTCCACAAGCTGGACACGTGACCGAAAGTGCTGAGTCTGATCCGAGATGGGACCATGTGTGCAAAGTACTGGAGAACCCCCTAATTCAGTGGTCCTTTATTTATTATACATATATATATATATATATTAAATGATGCTGATCCGTGATGAAAACTACATTCAAAAATCATTTTAAATTAGCGTAACAACCCTGCACAGATATGCAATGGTTGGAGTTTTCCCGAAATTCATCACCATAAGTAAGAGTATTGACTTCTGATAGAGTACATTTTCAGGTGAAATATACCTATACAAGGGACAGTGTTATCTAGTTCTTTCCGCCTTTAGATGAATATCCATAGCGACTTAATGGGACATGAAGCATCAGTGATATAAGCTAACTATAATGCATACTTTACAGAACTCCCACAGTTCTCATGGACGCGAAACCGTGCATAGTTTGGGCTATTCACTGTGGAAGACCAATTTTTCAACACCCACTTTTTTACTTATGATGACATCTGCCTATTTTATTTGTTGTTCAGTTGTCTCCACCTAAACATTCGAATTTCTCTGAAGACATTATATAGGAATTTAATCTCCATTTTAGTGTTTTCTTTGCTTAAAACTGTGCGTTCTTACCTAAAAGAGTACCTTTCTCACTATCGTATTATGAATCCTTTAGCAAGAATATTAGTGCCTTTACTTCCTGGTTTATTATTACAAGTTATTTTGAGGATGTTTGCAGTATATAAGTTAACATGTATAAAAATTAGCGGATCCAAAGCATATATTAGTCAAACGATAGTGTTTAGCACACTATTTATCTTTCATTAGTTTCAACTAAGTTATTAACATCCAGATGCAAGTGGCACACTAAGTTCCTACCATTTTACCGCTACTTTGGTAACACCCATATGTCAGCTACAAGACCTATTACACCAATTCCTCGCATCAAAAACTTCACGTATTTCCATAAAGATCTCACATCAGACTCAGTAGATAAAACCTAAATATTAAATAATGTCATATATCTGCCTCCAACTATTTTTCCTACATTATGTAGAATAAATATGGTTACAATATTGGTGTAACAAAATATGCTAACATGTCGATCGCAAAAGTTTATCCAAATTCCACAAACAACTAGCTTTGAGGACTAACTGAAAAAGCTATAGGGAGAAATTTCTTCTTTGCACAACTAAAAGCAAATTAACATGTGTAAAAATGTTCACTTTAAGAAAACTTATTCAGCCGAAAGGTGAAATTTCCGACATTTTTTATTTAAGAACTAGAGACAATAATCAAAGAAAGCTAGTACCATAACTCAGTCACCCACAATATATTTCAAATGTACCAGGTAACCAGCGACACTTATTGTGCAGCCAAATACTAATTTAGTGTAACAAAACAGATATCAATGTAAAAACTGAACAAAAGCGAATATTCAACTAGTGATAATTTGACGAAAAAGATAACGATATCATTAGTAAGTTCAACCCACAGACATTCAATAATCATTTCGAGGATTTACAGTTTGCTGATGAATCCAGTATGAATTCTGATTAGTAACCTCATGCAGGTTAAAAAACAGCGAACCAGTCAAGTTGTATGGGTGCCAATACCCATATATTGTTAATCTGGACTTCTAATACAATACTTACGAGACAAAAAATGTGAGCAGAAGTAAGCTTCAGCTCCACAAAAACAATCATAGAAAGCTTTGAATGGTTGTTATCAGACTACTTATATATCCAAAGCCCGGTTAGTCTGACTTTGCGTGTGTGAACTTGAAGTGAGTGGATTTTGAGCAAAATCCTAAGCTAACAATTTACCTTAGTTCCTACCACCACACAAAACTTATCTCAAAATGTTACGTTACGTTCAAGGTACATATTTATTTACGACTCCACTACATTGGCAATAAAACATGAGTAGACAACAAACACAAGTAGCGACGAGTCCCTTACGTATGCCGTGGTACATCCTGAGTATCAATAGACCAATCAGTACTTTATGTCGATGGATGAACAATTCTCTTTGTGTTGGTATAACAACATAAACTTTTATGAAATGCACAGCTTTTCAGTTGAGTTTCACATCGTTAATGAATGACTTGCTATACACATTTAGTTTATCAATTGTGTACTTTTCCAAAGAAATTAGGAAAATAAAAAGCATGCTATCACAAAGGAACTAACGCATAGTTCGATATATCACAATACAACGCATGATAATTTAGTTCCAATATATACATAGTTTCAAGAAACATAAAATTTTAACACCATAATTTTCGAGCAAACTGCATAAAAGATAGTTATCGAATACGCAATGGAACAGAGTTAACAAAAGCCGAATATTAAAATGTCTACGTGTGAACACTATGCTGAACCAGTATAATGTCCGGTACATCACGTTCATTAGGGATACATGCACTGAAACTATATCACGATAGGGAAGTGATTGAAAGTTTAGATATAGTTGGGTACTTCTTCAGAAATGACGTATAAATACAATTAGTGAAAAGTTGTAAATTGTACCTCCACATGCTACGCAGTTTAAAGCACGAATATGGCAGTGGGAAGATTCCCATTAGAACAAAATTTCGAAGGAGACATAGCACACACAAATAAACAGTAAAACTCACGTACACCAGACGGAAAAAAACAGTTAGTCCACTGAAAACAAAAGGTTCGTAATCACCGCGAACCCCAAGAACACATCCATCGGTAACGTTAAACAAAGACTTATAAACAATGGGCGAAGCCGAACACAGTTAGCTAGAAGACAGTACATACAAGTATATATTGCAGGCTGATGCGCAAATACTTAAAAACTAATATGATTTAAACTACTAACCAGTGAAAAACTTCGAAATGTATGAATGCGGCTTTTCAGTTATCTCCACAAGCACATATGTAAAGCTGCAGAAACAGGGATTCTTAAAATATAAAAATATAATTACCATAGACCTCTATTTAAAATCATTGCTGAATAAGCTAAAAATGACCGGAGTTGTTCTACTGAGTAGTTTTACTCTGCCACTGAGTTCATGGTTCACTAACAGAATGCTAGCGTCCAATTCAGGACAGCCTGCTACTACTTCATCTCTTGCACTTCTAAACAGCGCCAATTTTGCTAGCCAGTAGTAGGGCCAGAAGAAAGTTACAGTAAGGATTAAGACTGACCCATCACACTCCGTGAAAACAACATCCCTGCTACTGACTCTACAAAACTTATACCCCTGTTTTCCACTCACAACGAAAGGAAACAAACGAGACATATCTACACTCTGCTTTTGCTTCGTGGCTATAGCCTGAAATATTTTTGCATATTATACCATAGGTGCTCCTTGATCATTTGTGCTTTTAATTTCTAATCAGTGAGCTTCGTTGCATAGTGACAGGAGGAAGATCGTTCATGCTTGACGATGATTGCTCTCACTGCCTGTCATAAAACCAGCAAATTAATTGTTTAAACGCAACAGATTGTTTACGAAATTCAAAATATTACTGCTCAAATAGGAAAATAAAATACTGATAAGGTGTTTGGTAAGCTTACTTCTAACTACCATTTCAGCTGTCCATTATAACCAAGGGATTAATAGTTACATTCAAGCAGATCAGAAGTATGTCTTGAATATTGCGGCCAGCTTTTAGGCAGATACAACTACATGAATTTATAGCATACATAGAATACAGTTGTGGGTTACTCCTGTCGGCAACTGACAGTCTACATTAACTAAGCTATTGGAGAGAGCATTCAAAGAAGGCGCTATGACCTACCTAAGAAACAACTAGCTACACAACTGACGAGGTGTTTTTCGAAGAGAAATTTCGTGTTTGTGTAAACCTTCTTAGGACTCAGGAAAGCTGTGTTAAATTTGACATATCTTTGCCCATCTCGTTCACACTTGTCTTCATTAAGAACTATGTTCTAATTCTAAGTAATTCTGTTTCTAAGCCCCCTCGAACTTTCACATCAGGTAGGAAATTATTATCGCCTTTAATCTCCTGCATTATAACCGTATCTATGTTGACTTATGTTCATAAATGTGACTGTACAGTTTTTGAGAATTTTGATTATATTTGTGCGTTGAAGTTTTAGTAGCAATTTGGTTAGGTTTTGGGGGTGGAGTTGCTAGCACCACGCCCCAACCCTCCCTCTTTATCCGGGCTTGGGACCGGCTAGAATACTAGTGACCTAGTAATCTAGGCGAGGTTTGGTCCGGCGAGGCGGAGTATGAGTATGAAATCGCCGAAAAGACTGATATCTTTGCTAACCTGCTTGTTCTTTTATCTCATATTCAGCCTTAATGAGGATTTGAACGACCTTTTATCTATTGGTTTTAGTGTGATATGCCTCAAGTCAGATTGGCCAAATAAAATGGTTGTCTACGAATCTTGGTTAACCTACTTATTTAGGTCAGAGAAATCCTTATCTGTACGAGACAATTCACCTTGGTCGAGTGCTACAAAGTGATATGCCACTGCTGTCTACAGTGGAAGGGACGTGCATGAACCCAATTTCTGCCCGCGCGCTTCGTGTAGGACGTTACAATCTCACCATATAACGTGGAAATAATTTTTCGCATTCTGGAATATCGTGGTCTATATTTGACTACTACATAATTATAGCTGATATTGCTTGCCCCTCCAGTAGCTAAATATCCAAATTTATCACCTCCAGAATACTGTTTGGATCCAGTGAGATTCGTGTTAATAAAGAGCAATCTGTCACAAAAGAACTATAGAGAAGTCCTCAGTTTTGTGGTTTATAATTATCAGAGTTAACTCGTTTGATAGTGGTCTATTTTTGTTTGTACTTCATACCTGTTTATTGTTGTTTTTATCTATTTAGATAATATAACAGTATTTCACACACTTTTGTCAATTTTTGAGAAAATTTTATAATCTTTACCTGCATAATGGTCAAAGTTATTAAACGAGTTAGTACTGTTAAGAGACTAGCATCAAATAGTCAGCAGGACACTAAAAGCATCAGTCCTGACGATGGATTTGCACTAAGATCAATCGATACACCGAGAGTTTTAGTACCAAACTTAACGGAAGAACTAATTGATAACGTAGCGAGTAATACTAGTGATCTAAAGATCCTTCAGAAATCCATAACAGACCTGCAGGATAAGTTTGAAAGTATTACTCCTTTCCTCCAACTTTGTGATCCATCACAAGAGATTTCCTTAGATTCACTCCTCAAATCTGAGCACCTGCTAGACTTTTTGACTGCAGAGGCTGTAAAGAGGGTCATGTCCTCATACAATGTTTTAGGATATAATATACCAGACAATGTACCTATTGTCAAACTTAAAGCAATCTGTCTACAGGCATGCAACACTTCAGTATCTGACTGCCAGGTTCTGCGTCTTCGTAAGAAATCCGCAAACCACCCATGTCCTGTACTGTTCAAATTTAAGTCTGTTGATCTAGCTAAGAAATTTTTGGAGTCTGGCAAAACTCTTAGCTCCTCAACACCCTACACCAAAATCAGGATTGTACCTGATTTAACTTCTTGCCAAAGACGGTGCCGCGCAGGTAAATTGAATGAGAACAACCTCAATAAGACAACCGAAGTTAATACTTCCCTCGTTGTATTGCCTTATGACCAGGAGCACCAGACAATATCGCATACACAAACTAAGAGTAGTCAAGCAACTGTTGAAGACTTAGCTCTAAATACGGAAATTTCAGACATAGAAATGTTAACAGATCACAGTATTGACGTGCAACCCTTGCACACTGGCACTTATGCCAAACCCTCGAAAAAGTCTAAGCTGAATTCAGTTGTACACTCTGAATCTCTCGGGAAGTCATATACCGCACAACCTCTTAGCCCGGCAACTGTGAAGCAGCAATCACATGTGGCCACCCAGGTAGGCGTAAATACAAGGCGATATGATAAGCGTCCTATTTCCGTTAGGAACACCAAAAGAACTGTTGATACTATTCAGCAGAAATCCAGTTTATTGGGAAATCCTAATGATCACCAGCAGCCCAAGTTACACAAGCCGAATAATACGGAAAAGGCTAAACCGAACGTTAGACCCAGAACACTAAAGCCCATAATTACGAAAGCTTCGAATGGGTCACTGGCTCATTCTACTGGTGGACAATCATCTAAACTTAGTCATGTTCCTGAAGTTAGACGTAATTCACATACCGTAGGAGCTTACTCATTTCCGACTTCCACTACTAGTCCTGTGATAAGAAAAAATAATCGTCACATTTCTCACCAAACACTCCGAAAACACGAAGTTGCTCAGCCCCTCACGAATGCACTCCCAACCATGATGTACAGGAAACACCAGTTTGAGAATACAGACGTTAGTCCAAAAACACGTATAGCGCCCTGTCATAATTCTCATGCATTCAGTAGGAGTCACATGCCAATTTCAACACAATGCTCATCATGGCCTAGGAAGTTCTCTAACCAGACACAAGGATCTAAGTCATATGCACACAACAACACGCCGACCACCCATTTCGGTTATAACTATGCAGACTACATGACTCTAGCCAACCCATATGACCAAAATTTTCTCCAGCGACAACTAGCAGAAACGCCTGGGATCATGCACATAGCACATATGATGTCAGACCAATTCCTTGCTGGTATAGCAAACACCTTACAACAGGGAAACTGCTTCTTCCCCGACAGATAGCAAACACTTTATACACACCTAATACCAATAGTAATACCTTAGATTATCATACTAGTATCTCCCATAGCACGCAATATCTAAACGACCAACCACTCACGAGTGACATATCACAACCCATCCCTAAGTATCAAACTAAAGAAAACGTCTCTAGTGATCAAAATGTTGCAATTAATGAATCCAATAACGACTGCACATATTCAGCTGATAACCATAGAGCATTTTATTATGATATTGCCCATACACTAAAACCACTTAGTCAAAGTCTATCAGTCATCCTCATAAACGCTAGATCAGTTCTTAACAAACATTTAGCATTATGTACGTTAGCCTCTATATGCAATCCGTCGCTGATCATGATCACTGAAGCCTGGTGCTCAAGTGATATTACGGATGATAGCTTATGGATTGATAAGTACAATCTTTTTCGAGGGGATAGGGAAACAGGTCGTGGGGGTGGAACACTCATATACGTTAAACAACCCATTTGTGCAACGCATTTTAGTCACCCTATTCTGTCACAACTTAATGATTCGGTGTGGGTCGAAATAAAAGTTCTCAGAAGTAAACCTATCCTTATAGGGTGTGTATACCGACCGCCATCATCCAACCGCGAATACGATAACGTACTCAGCAACGTATTTAGTGTTGCATCCAATCTTCCCTTCAGTTATAATATAATTGGAGGTGATTTCAATTTGCCTGATATATCATGGCGTACACTTCGTGGACCCTCGAGGTATGATAATCTTCTTAATTCCATCATTACAGGAGGATGGACACAACACATAAATGTACCCACTAGGTCCGATAATATCCTTGATCTTATATTCACGATCAACGTGGCACCATCTACAATTCATGTGGGACATGAATTCCCAGGTAGTGATCATAAAATAGTTGCATGTTCGTTTAATATTTCTCCAGAAACTATACACAGAAACAAAGTTATTCCGACACCTATAAGACTGTACACGCAGGTTGACTGGGACTTGTATCAGGACTTGATTAGATACTCTAATTGGGATTCCTACTTTACCAATGACTCCTTAGAGGAAGTCCTTCAAAACTTCTATGACAATATACAGTCGGTTAATGATGTCATAGCGCCTGTGAAACTGATTAAATTCAAAATTCCTCAAGGTGATTTTATTCCAATATCATTAAGAAGAAGTATGCGGAAGCATTCATTAAGTTACTACAGACATCACGACTTATCGTCGTTAATAGCTATCAAAACAATCCTCATTAGAATCCATGAGTTAAAAAATCTAAGTCTAAGAAATAAAGAGACGCGGGCAATTCAGTCGCCACATAACACTGGAGAAATAGCCAAACTCTTCAAAAGTAGGTTAACTAACTCCAAATCAACATATCCAAAAATAATACACCTAGGTGGCATTACTCACGAAAGTGATGAGGATATATGTGAGGTGTTCAGCACGCACTTTGCCAAATTGTACACTCTAGAAAACGACCAGGATATAGATTTCCCTCGTAAAACAGAAAAGTGTCTAAGCGATGTAGTCTTCAACGCCCAAGAAATCGATAAAGCTACCACAACTCTTAAGCTTACTAATACTCCCGGCCCAGATGGAATGTCTTCTGTCCTCTTAAAAAAGGGTGGAAATGACATGAATCTACTTCTTCTCAAGATATTTTCAACTTCGATAAGGAGTGGAACATATCCAAATAGCTGGAAGAAATCTTACGTTGTACCCATTCACAAAACCGGGCCTATAGCGGACATAGATAATTACCGCCCCATCAACATTACTTCCGTAGTTTCACGTGTGATGGAAAAGATTATAAAGAAGCAAATTGTTCAGTTTTTGCTCTCGAATGACTTAATATCCGCCTTCCAATACGGTTTCCTAAATAGAAGATCGTGCATTACTTGCCAATTAGATTATTTCGACCACATTACTGAGTGTGTAGACAAAGGTCGTTCAGCAGCAACATTATTCCTAGACGTTAGGAAAGCTTTTGACAAGGTTCCACATAAGAGACTCATATTGAAACTCCTATCTTATGGAATAAGTGGAAGGCTACTTGAGTGGATAACTTCTTTTCTTACAGGAAGAGAACAGTTAGTTAAAGTCAACCATCACTTATCAACATCCAAACCGATAACCAGCGGCGTAATACAAGGTAGTGTTCTTGGCCCTACCCTATTCATTGTATTCATAAATGATATTGTTTCTATGATCAAGTATGGCAAGCCATACCTCTTTGCAGACGACCTCAAAGTTGTCTATGATTTCGACTATAATGATATGAATATTGTTAGTAAAATCCAAGAAGACCTAAATAGTCTATGTAATTGGAGTGAAAAGTGGCAGTTAATGTTCAATCCAGCTAAATCTGGGATAACACACTTCGGACGTTGGAAACCTAGCATGTGTCTATACATGTACGGTGACCTTGTCTCAAACACGAACACAGTCACAGATCTCGGGGTAACATACTCTGATCTTACCTTTACTGAACATGCAAATAAGGTGGTATCTGATTGTAAACGTCTAACAGGCTTTGTGCTACGCAACTTTTACACCCCAGAAGCCAGATTAGCCATATATAAGATATGCATTCGCCCCAAACTTGAATACTGTGCCCACTTATACAGTAGCTTTAAATCAGCAGACAGAAAAAAAGTTGAAAGTGTCCAAAGATTCCTCACGAAACGCATATTAGGTTATGATCAGCAAATAGAATACCTTGACAGATGTATTCGACTGGACTTAGAACCCTTATGGTTAAGGAGAGTGAAGTGCAATTTATTTCTCTTATTCAAAGTTGTAAGAAAGCACTGTAACAGTAACTCGTCTATAACCTGGGCTAATCCTAAATCGTATGGACTACGCAACCATAACTGCCTTCTCAAGGTTAA